CATTGAAGGAGAATGCCATCGGTATGCATTCTAATGATCGGTGGAAGAGTCAATATGGTCAAACCTAGTCCGAGGTGATTGTTTTCTGCTCAACGCCCAGTCTTTTGCGAAGTCTCTAGCCGCTATTTTAAATTCTGCAATTGGGTTGGAAAGGAAACGGTAAGGTGATGGGAGGACGCAGTCCTTGCCTGCCCTAAAGTACACCAATAATGCTCCTTTAATTCTTACCAGCGGGTGATGGTGCTTTGCCTGTAGAGAGAAACAAAGAAGTCTCGATAAGTCACCTCACTCCCATGATCCAAAGGCAAATTTTCATTCCTGTCAATCTCACATTTCTATATAGGTAGTTCCTCAGAATTTCATGACATATCTTAACATCTAGGTATCCCACGACTCAATTGCTGATAACCGGTTTCTGAAAGGCGTTCATCTAGGAATTTATATCCTAAGAGCCTTTTGGTCCAACTGGATGTCGAAAACAATCCGCGATCATGTTGATTTTGCTCCACCTCGGCCTTTGATTGACCACACAAATCAGATGCAATTTAAATTGTCGGTCGAAAGTAAACCGGGTTTGTGGTAGTTTTGCTTAACTTCGAATTCGCTCTGCAATTGGTCCAGAAACCTCGCACTCCACTCTCTCAACAAAGCAAATTAAAAACCAAAACCAATCAAAACTTGGTTGCCCGCGTTTTCCCGCACTTTAAACAGTTTAATTGTTTTTACTTAGAATTCTCATTGGCTATTTTAAAAGGCTTTTCCCTTCCTCCTGATTTGCCATTGTGATAACTTTGGTTTTGATTGGCTGTTTTTAAACCAATCGAAAAACGCTCGCTCAAAAGTGACTTTGTTACTTGCGTTTTCCCGCGCCTTTTCGTTGCTCTGATTCCCCGGATCAACCTCGTTCCCAGGTTCTCCCGTCTTCCCGCCCCCTGGAGACCCTGGGAACGAGGTTGTCCCCGGATTACTTTGGATTTGGTATCACGAAATTCAATCGAACTTCACTACAGAAGATATCACACTGATACTTACAGAAATTACAAGTCTTGGAGCACTGTTTAACTGAAGGCTCGTCCCTGTGAAGCTTGCAGTACTCTTCCAAAGTTTGTCCGCCATCTGACTGCTTTGCTGATTCATTGGTGATCCAACTGCAATCTCTTTGGTCTTTACACTCTGATGATAAAGAACCAATTGAGTGACGTTTTTATAAGCAATTTCAAAAGGACGTTATATGTCTGTTTGTCAGTTTATCTATTTTATACGCGTCTCTTCTTTAACATAACAACCATTTCTTCTTCCTAATGCAGTCTTCATTCACCTAACCTGCGTCTTACTTTCATTGTAGCGAAGTACTGTTAGGGGATACGAATCGAGATCCCAGATTAACTTCAGTTGAATGGACTCAGTTTGAGCTTAAATTACTCAGAGAATAATATACAATCTGCAGTAGGGTATGATATCTTGCACGATAGCTCTCGTGATATTCATAGTCGCAATTTTGAGTTCTAAAGGAGAGGCAAGTATACACAAGACGGTGAGGTGGCAAGAGAGAGAGAGAGAGAGAGAGAGAGAGAGAGAGAGAGAGAGAGAGAGAGAGAGAGAGAGAGAGAGAGAGAGAAAGAAGCTCGCTCGACCACATATGGGTTATATTAAATGCGCTGGTGTTTTTCACTTACCAATGGGAGCTGGTGCGTTCCCTCTACGTTTATCTTTTTACCTAAAATAATAAGGGGGGTGGGCAGGCCCCCCGGGCCCCTCCCCTAGATCTGCCTCTGGTCATATACCGTAACGGAAATAACTTTCGTAACGGAAATAACTTTCGTACTGATAACGGTAAGGTACCGGTGCTGAGTTAAAATGTAATATCGAACTGATAAAACAATAATCAGTCAAGAAATTGATACATTTGATGCCAAGGAACAAATGAGGACAGTGACTTACCTGCACTGTCAGCGAAGGAGTTCAAATCCTCTGGAAAATCTGAGATGCAAATAAAACTGAGTTATAAGGGAACTGTGGCAAAGAAATGCGATAAACAGAATTTCATCACAATAATATTAAAAAAATAAACTTTTACTCACCGAGAGCAAATTGGAACCGTTGCACAGAAATTTCAAGTAAAGCGTAAAGCATCGGAATATCAATACTTAACTTGAAACAAGCTGGATTCAACTGTCACAAAATTTTACTTACCGTGAGCAAGTTTTCTTTCGATATTGCTTAATGGCACTGCTTTACTCAGTTGCAAACTTATTATCAAGATCGTTGACAAAGTCACAAGCGTTTTCAAGCTAGCCATTTTTCTGCTTTGAAAGAAGCGCGCTTTCAGGTACAAAGGGCTTTTGATGTTGAACACCTGAGGTCGCGTTCAAATTGAATAAAAAACTGTTGAAAAGATCATTTATATTCTAATTGAGCTTTGAACAAACAGTGTTTACAAAATGTTGAATATTTCAAATTGTTTCGAAAACATGTTTCTGGCTCTAAAAGAATGCTTACTTAGAACTGTCAATCATGCTGTGTTTGTTATAATAAACTGTATGTACCGGCAAAACACTTTATTCAATATTTTTCTTCATATACTTTCTTTTCTGATTGAATCGTATTGTTCGTATTGATGAGGCACAGTCCTCGTAGCAGTTCATGTGAGCCAAACAGACCAATGATTAGCGATAGCGTCCATAGTAAACTAACTGGCCGGGGTTTCCTTTGACAATAATTAGTCAGTAAGGCAACGCGATGATTGCCCATTGGAGCCTGAAATCTCCCGGCCGTTGAAGTACAAGTCAGTCAACTGGAAAGTCACTAAGTTTCGTGAGTTATAATTAATCCCTTGTTAGTTGCCTTTATTCAGCCATAAACTAAATAAAAATTCGATCAAATGAATGACCGGTAGGTTTGTAAAACTTGTTGTAAGAAGTGTAAATATGGCTGGTAGGTTTTTCGAAGAGAAGCGAAAACATAGCAGTGACAAATAGAATTTTGGCGCGAAAAATTTGGTGTGATTCAGTTCAGGGCCATGAAGGAATTTAATATATATTTCATAAGTATCCGATTAGCATCAAGCTGACCATCGTATTGTACTTACCAAAGTTAATCTTGTCAATCGAACCGTACAGAGGTACTGCATTGTCAAGATACACGAATTCGGAAATAAAGAAAATTGAGCAGAAGATTGCAAAAAGTTTAGAACTTTCCATATCTCAAGCCTGGTCTCAGGCTCTCAATATTATCTCTGAACACCAACACTACAGTCAGGTCTGTTCAAATTTGAAATTTGTTAATAGCTTCTTCAACGGACAAAAAATTCTTCAGAGATGCCTATTCATATTATAATTAACTTTAAGAGCCTCTTTTGAGTTTTTATTTAATTGTTTTTAGGGCAGTGTTTATTTTTAAAAGAGCTTCCGTGATCTTTTCCGGCCAATCGCGAGCTTTTGCTTTCAATATTGTTTGCAAAACAAGAACGTTAAAAACGCTTCTAGAACAGTGAGTTTCAGTTAATTTAGATTATAATGCACGAAAAAATAAAAAAACACTAAGTATCCGTCGTAGTAAAATACTTCAAATCTTAACCTGTTAGGTGCAGACCGCCTTGAGTTAGAAGTTGCATGATTCAAAAAAATTTCGTTACGGAAAAGTAGAGAGGTAACCAGACGGCAAAGCCTTTAACCCTTGAAGGAATGAAATAGCTAATTCTCATTACAACGTTAAAACGTTATCTGGAAAACTGGAAATGAGAATTAAAAGACGTTTTGGTATTGACATAAAACTTGATCCTCTCATTTTTTTTTGCGAGGAATAAAGTGGCAATCGGGATTGAAAATCATCAAGAGATCATAAACAGTTTATATTCTCTCTGAATCAGTCATCAGATAATGGTTTAGATGGTTACGTTCACTTGATACTTACGTGGATCGTTTTTCTCCACAAAAACGTTCATGGGAATACCTGACAAACTATTTCCACGTCCGGGAGCGCAATCGAAGGTAGGAAAGTAGACGGAGGCGAGAAAAAAGCTGATGTAATACAGACTGTACATCTTCGCATTCTGTCGAGATAAGATACATTCAAGGTGGAGAGCTGAGAAACAGAAAGGCCCCATATTTTCCAGTGGTGTAAATTTGTTTATTTTGTTGATGATTGAGCCGCCGGTGGTAACTTTTGAAAAGGTTTAAAACATTTCTGTCTCCCTTCAATAAGTCTGTTTTACGAGCCTAGTGGCCCATTAGGCCGGTGCTTAACTCCGGTTTCTGTAGCATGAAGCGACTAGGAGTATTTCTACTCCCCCCTGGATGGGATGCTAGTCCATCGCAGGGTTACCCCCAGCATTAAATTGCCCACTGTGAGAGTTAAGCGTCTTGCCTATGAACACAACACAATGTCCCGGCCGGGGCCCGGGACATTGTGTCCCGGCCCGAACCCGGACCACTCGATCCGGAGTCGAACGCACCAACCATGAGGCCACCGCGCCTCCACATTTCTGTCTCCCTTTAATAGTAAAGATTAATAAGTCGTGGCTTCAACCTCGTTCCCAGGGCCTTTTCCCACTCCCAACTAAGGGAAAAGGCCCTGGGAATGAGGTTGTCGTGGCTGGTACTTTGCAATGTATATTCATCTCTTACCCAGAGATTTCAACCCACTAATCCAACAAATCAAATGCAAAGCCAAACTCAATCGCGAATCAACGATTCGCGCTCGCCATCGCTTGCTGTTGGCTATATCTATATCTATATACTATAGTCTCGCTTTGGCTTTACTGATATTGGCCTCTGTCCTTAATTGATAGGCCGGTGTTTCCTCTATGCCTAATTATAACGTTGCTCAATCAGATAGTGTTCCGAGCACTGAGGTTGTACATGTATATGTTTTTCCTTTTGATTTAAAGTGGTCAACACACACATCTTAATGTGTGTTCTCTAACTATACCAATAAATGCGCTTTCTGTAAAAAATTGAAAACGCTGTTTGAACCGTCATAACCACACCAGTCGACTTTTTGGATGAAAAAATAATGAAGACAATCAAAAATTATCAGATACCTGTGAAAAAGCTACGATTTTTTTCACGAGAAATAATAATAATGATGATAATAATGATAATAATAATAATAATACTTACATACAGCTCTAGTTTCTTTGCTCATATTCAATAGAACTCTACATAACAACTACTGAAAGCGTTCTTAAAAGGAAAATTTTGAGTTGTTTCGCTAAAGTAGCTGAGCTGCTACAGATTCTGATGATTAAAGCGACTAGTTCAGTAGGAGCTGCATGAGCGAAGGCGTGATTCCCAAGTACAAAGCACAGGACATGCTCGTGTAAACAAAAACTACAATTTCTACACTTTCAAAATCCTACTGGTAGAGTATATAGCTCGTATTCTGTAAACGTATCTTTTAACTAAATCTGAACTGTCTATGATGATGATCGGTGTAACAAAGAAAACTTACCTTCACAAGCCTTAGCGTAAGCTCGTTACAAAGTCAAAAACATGGATAAAATACAAAAAAACACAAGCTATATATGCTATATCGTATAAAAAAGTAGAAAGCTAATATTTATCATAAACTTTTCTGACGCCTAGTCGATTCCGAAAAAATAAAAATATCTACGACATGATGCTCCTGAATATTTGTGGCCAACTAGCGTTAACAGTATTGTCGTAGTATTTTGCTTTCGCCATACTGGTATGTAAACAAAATGCCTCAACGGATCTGTCGATGAACGTCAAGAAGGAAGAAACCGTTTTTAATACTCAGTCAGTGTCAGACAGTCTCGCCATCAAACCGATGTACCTACTTTCATCCGCAATGACAACCTATAAACGAAAGTTGTGAAGCAAAAGGTAACAATGAGAAAAAAAAAAAAAACACGAAGGCTGGACCCCCGTGGGGTTGCACTATATATGAGGGACCAGGGGTGACGAAGTACCAAGGGTTTTAGGTATTGAATAAGGATCGCGGGAAAACTACAATAGATAGACATTTAGTGAATTTTTGTCCGAAAGGATGGTAATTTGTAAGATGCTGATATAAATATTGATAAGGGATGGGAGGCGGGGGGTGAATTTTCGGAACCTTCTTTTTAAAGCTTCCTTGAAGCCATTCCTAAAGGATAAGTGAGGGGAGGAGAGGGGAGGGGTGAAAGCTTTTAGGGAGGGAACGAGAGGTCGATTGATATTTCTTGCAGATTGTAAATTGCAGGGATCGCAGTTCTTATTCCGCGCCGATCTTGCTGAGGTTGTCTATGGTTTGAGCTTATCGAAAAACGCATGACGTGGCGTCAGTTTTTACATATCGATTTTAGGCATTTCTTATACAGATTTTAGGAATACCCACTGATACACGACATGATGGGCCGGCTCAATATCTGTGGCAAGAAGTGCAGCTATCGCTACATTCTATATTGTCGATCACTCCTTCATCTTAGATGAAAAGCTGAATAACGTAAATACCGAAGTATGCTTCCACAGAATTTTTAAAGTTTTTAATGGTGGCATAAAACAAAATTTATTTGTCAGGAGCAGAGACCTGAATTAATACAACTGCTTGGTTTTTTGGCTTTTTTTTTTTTTTTTTGCGAAAAGGAATGAAACTTTCTGTAATGACCAGCGGAAGTGTCTGATATGGACCGCATTTTGTCATGAAGATAAATATTAGTTTGCAAAAATTAATGCGAAGATGGATATTAGTGGAACGTTGTTTTCCTTTTGTTGCTGTTTTTAAAACTGTTGATGTTAAAATTAAAATAAAGCAAAATTTTGGGGTCAAATCGGCATTGTCAGTTTAAATCTGAAGGTGCGCATTCTGTGCATAAACTTTTAATAGCCTGGAAATAAATTTTACTTCGACATTTGAGACATGAAAGCATCCAGTATATGATGAGATTTACCTTAGAAAGATAACTTTCCTGACCAGCAGTTTGGCACAGTCAGCCAAGAGTGAAAAATTTTAATTGCAGTAAGGTAGACTACGGTGAATATAGTATTTCTAAAACAGAAAACAGTAAGGAAAGGCTTTTAATATCCGAATGTAAAATCTCGGTCCATATTTCTCTTACTTGAGATTTCTTGTTCGATATTTAACATTGTCTAGACATACGATACAAAACGATCGTTAGGTGACACACATGAAGCTGACCGTTTTAACGGTGAAAACAACCAAGTAGCACAGGCGAAACTTCAATCGACTCACCAGTCGATGGAGGACATTCCCCGTAAGAATACATTAAGTATGGTCTCAACCACATGAAAAAAATTTACTCTGAGGCACCTCTTATTTCGACGCTTTCTCTGATACCAAGATGTCGGCTAGGGGTGGATTCTACAATACGACGAAAACATTTTGTTTTTCCATGGAACCAACGGAGATTTGATTGAAAAATATTTATCAGTTGAAAACATGTCTTTCTAAAATTAAACGAAACTGGGTATTGTGGCACAAATTGATGAAGTTACCGTTTGGGAGCGGAACGTAATGCACGCACCGATCGTAATGCGCGCACCGATCAATCAATCCAAAGCTTAAACATCCCTTTCCCTGGCCCAGGCAACCGTTGTCCGTGCCCGGGGAGGGGAGGGGGTGGGGAATCTGAACCCTGCCTGGTTGGGGTGGGAAATTGGAACCGAATGTGTCATGTCTTACCAGCGGAATGCAAGTGTTATTCTTTAAATGTGGAGGTGTTTAGGGTAAATAGTTCATTTTCGTCGGCGAATGGCTCAAAAGAAAAGATTTACAAGGTCTAGGTTTTAAAGCTTGGTCAATCTGTAGAAAGTCACGGTCGCGAGGTAAAATCGTGGCTGCGAAGCTTCCACAGCGAGCATTAAGCGTGCCTCGATCTCATTCTCCTCGCGGTTAAAATGTTGGCAAGCTAATTAAGCGAGAGTGCGCAAGCCTATTTTGAGACTGAGCTAGGGAAGGATAAAAAAGTAAAAAAAGTGAAAGCGCACCAAACACTCTTCAGGCTTAGCGTAACGGCCGGTGTTGTCCTTCATCTCTCCACACAATGCTTTCAGCGCGGTATCCTTATCAAATTAAGCGCGTAACCACTACGTACGATTCACACGTGCACTAAATGTGCTTTATTCTGCTCCAAAATTACAAAGATGTAAATATATTACTTAACAAACTGTCTCGATGAAACAAACTCTGTTTCATTTCTCTCATTTAATACATAAATATTTTTGAAGCAATTTCCTCCAATTATTTAGGCTTTTCCGAGCTTACATGAGTAATCTATCAGTTGTTGAAGAAAGCCGTCGTTAGGTGAAATTTCACGCTTGCTCCGTACGCTTCTCACCGCCTCTTTCAGTTCCATTTCTTGATCTCTCACTAAGTACGCCAAGACAAGGCTTACGGATCGGCTAACGCCCTCCTTGCAGTGGACATAAATCTTCCCGTTAAGCTTTCCAGAATTCTTGGTTCCGACAGCTTTTGCGATGAAATCGGACGCTTCGTCGAAAAAGCGGTCGAGTTTAAAGGTGAACATGTCCATGGCAGGTATGCCATGGTAGATGATGCCGGATCCTCTGTAATAATCCGGGCCTGTTTGAACGTGGTACAGCTTGTTTCCATGCGCGGCATTCAACACATGGGTGATCCCTAGGTCTTGTAGCTCCCCTTCATTCATAGCCGTTGAGCTGGAAAGGAAAAGGATAGAGGCGCTTAATTTAATGGGTACGAAGGCCGGATTCAGCCCGGCTCGAGCTAGCGAGAAGTCACGCGCGAAGTTCAGATGACGTTCCTTTTCCGCAGTTCTGATCTATCTAACGCGCGTCAATTGCATTCTTGCCGTGCGCCTGCTAATGCAGACACTCAGGAGGTTTTACACTTTTCCAGTACAAGACTACGTTACAAATTTTTTTCGTTTACAGCAGGAACTGAGAATTCTCGATTCGGAGTCTGGCGCAAAGCCTTTTTCTCCGTTCACTCTTCTTTCTCTCACTCGATGGTATATTTCATAAAAAAAAAAAAAAAATTGGAATTTGGCTTTTTCTAGTCACCTTTAGATTCCTGGGAATGGTTTACATGCTATATTTTTAGCAAAAAAGTACTTTGAAGTGAAAAGTTACTCTCCACCGCCAGTGGCTTCAATAACAAGGAATCATGAGGGATAAAACAAAACCAAAATGACCGACATATAGCGAAAGACGAAATAGACCGTCATACGCACTTTCCTTCCTCAAACTTGGCAGTCGCGACAAACAATACAGCAGCCTTCTGGAGAAAAGAGTCACTAGTCTAGGTTACCCCTTGTCTTAATCTTACTCTGGGTTTGTTTATATTTCAATTCTTAATCGAAAGTAAGTATGCGGGACCTCTAGGTATCTATAACTGGATAATATTTTTCAGAAAACAGCTGCCCATTAATTACTTAGTGGGGTTTTTCCGAACACTAGCACTTTTCTGCTCTGTTGGAGCCCGAAACGACGTTACCATGGAAATATGACATCAATCAAGACCGTCGCAACAATCGGTGCCAGAAGACGTGATATTGCAATGAATATTGCCAAAACTAAAAATGGTTAAATTAACAAGAATGATCGCCTTCGACTCGGAACTTAGATGAGTGACCAAAATGGACCACTTGGCATACTTAGCTAAGGAAATTATTGTGCCTTACAACCTCGTCTAATATGTTTTCCATGAAAACAACGACAACTACAACAAAACGAACAGAATAAAGAAATTAAAGTGCGGAAACATGATATAGACATTTTAATGTTTAAAAATGAGCTTTCCGCCTACAAGCTCAAAGATAGCTTTGACGCAGATGTTAATACACCCACTCAATAATAATCCAAAACTTGTTTATAAGGACTACCCGAGAAGCCAAAAAAAAAGTTTGAAGAGAAAAATACAAGAAAATTTGAGTGTGAAATTGATTTTTTAAGTCAACTAGTGGGAAGACTTCTCGTGCAAACAAGCCATTTAAAGGCGTTATCCAAATTTCTGTGCGTTACGGTTAGGCGTTACTTACGTGACAGAAATGTCACGCACTCGAGCAAGAAAGTTAGACAACAAGGAATATGTTCACTACTGCAGTGCTGTTCATTATCATTTTTTTTAAAGTTTTGCGAGCGAAAGAAGATATTTTATTGCAAAATATTAAATACCAGGTAAAAGAACAAGTTTTGCTGCATGACACTTCCTATGAAGGGCCAGGAACTCGCGATAGAGTAATTGGAACAGTTTATCGTAAAATTTGCATTAAAATGTTTCAATTTCCTCCGTGGACAGTTTCGATCCCTTTATCAAACACCAACAAGGAACAAAAACCACCACTTCGCCTGAGAATCTGAAACCTGTTAAGAACCAGGATGCTGTATTCGTTTAGAATTTACGTGGAGCATTTTCTGTCAAATTATAGCAACATGTAGAAGAATTCACAGAAGAACTCGGAGTGGAAGAACCAAAAGGAAAAATCTAAATCCCAAGCTTTGACGTGTAAAGCTTTCTAATCCATGTTCGATCTTTGATCTCGCTAAAAATTTGACTAACTCTTCGAAAAACAGGTGAAAATAACTACTACTATACGTAGCTCACTACCTATAAAACAGCTGGAAGAATAAAACTGCACTTACGCTTCGCCAACGAAGATTCCTTCAAAAACTTCGTTGTAAGCATCATTAGGCATCATATAGAAACCACCAGCAGGCTCAGTTATAATATTTTGTAAGTCCTTGACGGTGGTGTTCGGGGAAAGCGAGGACACAGCACCTGACACCTCCGTCTCTTCAGCCATTTTGTTTACATCCAGCAACTACTGGTTCCGGTTTGTAATATTGAACTGCATTCTGGGCCGGGTCAAGATGGCGGTCGTGAGAAGTGTTTTTCCGCTTCAACAGTTAACTTCACTTCAAAGAGAAGTTTTAAGTCAAACTCATTGACGTGGACAAGAACAGTCTCAACGAGGTCACAATTGCATCAAGTGGTCCAACAGATGTCTTTGAGGTTAAGAAAGAGGAATCTTGTAGTGGAAACTGAACGCAAACAGAAGGCAAGATGGTTGATGTTGATGTCGTAGAATTAACAGTCACATGTGCAGCAGCAGCGATAATAATGGCAGCTCTTAGTATTTTATTATTCTACTTTTGTACAACTCGAACGCAAAGACAGAGATACCGCAAAAGATGTATGAACTCACGTCAAAGTGTCGAACATGTACAGAGCCAAATTAAAGAGTACCAAACAGCTAGGGCACAAGAACTGCAATCCCGCGCCCCAACGAGCAACAGAGAGGAGACCTCGTCGAGGGATTGAATATAAGGTGTCACGAACCATCGACCTAATTTGTCCAACGAAAGAATAAAGGAGAGACAATGATAACGTTTTACGGGATGGAAAATGATACTGAAATTGTACTAACAAGTAAAAGAGTAAAAAAGGTTATCATGAGATACTGTTTTGGAAGAAGAATAGCTTGGAGACGAAGTATAAGAGATGTGCTTGTCAAAACAGGATAAAACATAAGATTGTGAACAAGACTTTTCGCACCTATTGCACACAAACATCTGCCTCAAACTGACAAATGTGTTTAATCCTTGAATAAAATGTTCTCTTTAAATTATTCTTCAAATATTTCTAACCACAAACACCTTATCAAAAAACAAATATTAAATCAGAAAGAATTATAAGCAAAATATCACTGACAAGATACCAATGATAACTTAAATTAGATACAGGCAAACCACATGAAGCACAAACATAAAGTGTCAGGAGGCAGAACCAAACCAATTCGTCAAACACTAAAGAGAAAAGTGATCAAATCAGATAGCTGAATGACATTTTTGCATATTCTTTTGCCAATTCCAGTCATAAATCAAAAGACAATGCCATAGTAGTCAGTTCTCCCTCTGTAACAACAAAGCAGATGTAGTTTTCTCTATATTCTGTGACCATCATCCTTGGTTAATCCCAAGTCATTTTCTTTTGCTCCAGTTCTTCTCGTTGCTTATCTTGTATTTGCTCTAATTCCTCTTCAGTTGTTGCCTCAGTTAAATCCACATCCAGCTCTTCTGTTCTCTCCAGTGCCTCTTTCATGAGTTCTTTTGGACTTGGTAGTTTCATGAATGCATCAAATACATTTGGTACATTGAATAACTGTTGATCACCTGAGTAAAGGAATGAACACAACTGTCATGAAAATCTTGTCAACTTTTCGTTTTGCATCTTTTATGACATTTCATCAAAAAATTAATTATTGACTCCTTTTTGTTGGCAATGAAAGGGGAAATTATTTTCACATGGTCTATTTGAGAGTTTAAACAGATCTTGAAAAGTAATGGACATTTCAGTTTTATTTCCTGGGCTTGGGAAGATGTCTGAAATGGCCAGAGATTGATTTTTAAGGACAAATTTTTCTACAAATGCCTTAAAATATTTTCCTGTGACATGAAAATGCAAAAAAGGACAAAAAAGATGGAAAGATAGATGATCACAAGAGTACATATATGAACTTTGTCGCAAACCACAACCCAAAATGTCAATGCAGGCCATGTATCAGTGAGACAATCATGGTCACGTACCTCTTTGTTTTGTTGCAAGAAGTCCCAGGTTCTCAAGTTGTTTTAAAGGTTCTGATGGATCATATTTCAGGGTCACTTGAAACTTGAGATTCATCCAATCTTCAACATGCTGCTTCAGCTCACCAACTGTCATTCCTTCATAATGCAACCCAGTTCTGTGGCCACCACCTACATCAAGGTATTTACAGAGAGGTACAAACTCAAGATAAACCAGTTAAACATGCAACTAAAAATGCCACTTGATGTGTCTTTGTTTACATACGGCAAAAAATCAGGGAAAATTTAATCAGTGTTCTCCTTTTCAGGTAGTAAACAATAGAATTTACTGCCTAAAAACCGCTCCGAATTCTTGAAAAAATTCAACTGGTGAAAGGATTACTCTACCATTTTGAAAATTTATTTCATCTGTTGTGCTCAAAATAAGGGAAAACACTTGTAATATTGCAGGTTAAATACTATGTAATGCTTTCTCTACCAATTTAGAAAACAATAAATTTAAAATGTTTGATAACTGTTCTTTAAAATACAGTTTGTGTAAAAGTAAATGGACCTTCTAAATTAAAGTATTAATAAACTTAACTTTGCCAGGGCCCAAACATAACCTAATACACTTCTTTCCCAAGTCAAATTTCTGCATCAATTTACCCTTAACACCTGACATCAAATTCTCCATACCCTTTTCTAAAGATTTCCTTAGGCACTGACAAGGAGAATTTGTTAAACAATCAATCTTGTGATCTTAATGAATGCTCTTGAAAGCAGTATTACTGTCAGGGGAAATTAAATCCTGGCCACTCTTAGGGTGTTAGGGATAGAGGCTTACTTGACCTTCTAGGAATGCTTTAATTTTTTTCACATATTGAAGATTGTTGTACAATTAGCTTATTCGCAAAATTTGAAGATTGGAGAACAAGGTAGGAATGATAGGAGCTAAAGAAAAGGAACCAAAACAGTCAACCTAATAATTATAAAGATTTCCCATGTTAAATGTCTACTTTAATGAAAGAGAGGCTGCCATGAGGCGAAAAAGGTAACTGACTGAGCAAGCTAAATAAATCATAAAACGGAGAAAAAAATCAGCCATATGGGCTTGCATTATGTTGGTAAGAGCATCAAGTACAACTTTTGTTCGAAAATCCAGGAATTGAATTAACTGAGTTCAGCACAACCTTGCAAGAATATACAACACCCAAGAATACTTATCATAAATCAGAAATTTTTAATAAAAATGAACTATTCCCTGAAGTACCTGATAGGTTTAATGGGGCTTGAAGGAAGCTGTATGCCAAGAGGGTTCCCTTGAACACCTCATCTTCCGCTCTGTCAGCCAGCAGAGTAAATAAGGCACGGTTGTTTGCAATGGCCTTAAAGTAGAGGGTCTGTGACAAGCGCACGAGATAGGAATTCCTTTTATTTTTATAGATTGTCCATGCTCTTACAGCCACAACTCCTGCCACAGATATGGCAATATAAATCCATGATATCTTGTAATCAGCCAGGAAAGAAACAAGCTTAATCACTACACTTGTGGCACCGATTGTCAAAGTTGCTGCCAATAATCGTTGATCAGACTTTGTCATCCTTATTTTTCCTTCTGGAAGTAAATGCTCTAGATTGGCACACCGAATATCCTTGAAGGACTTGAACATTAGTTTACTCTGCTTTTTGGAACGAATGGCGATAACCACCCTCTTGTACCTCTCAGCCTTGATTGGTGTTTTAAATCTTTTAACAACTCTACCGGCAACCCTGGAGTACCAACGCCCTGTTTCGCCTGGTTCAAATTCTTTACCAACCACCCATATCCGTAGAACATCATACTTGTTTGGGTCAACACTGACAAGTACACCATCTCCTGCATCATGTTCTTTTAAGGCACTGCGCACATCTTCAACTGGTAGCTCATAAAAGTGAGCCTTTTCTAAGAGTTGAGATAACTTTTCCAGTAGCCAGAACTCATTTTCTTGTCTCTGCTTCTTTGAAGTTTTAAGGAGAGTTAAAGTCTCTTTGTCAGGGTTCAAAGGATCATACAAAGCCTTAGAAAGAAAGAGAAGAAAGAGATTTGTTTTTATGGTTTGTTTTTCTTTCAACTTTATTAAGCTATGGTTTAACTTGAAAAAAAAAAAAAAACAATAATGTGAAAGCACCATAGTCTCTCATGAGCTTCCAGGATTTAGTCTATACACTTGTAACTTGATGATTAATTAAATCTATGGCAAAATGAATTGAAAAATTTCAAGGTTGGGCATTAAATAAGGTGACAAGTGCACAAAATTATTTAAGAGGTTAAACCCCTTTTTGATTCTATTCCCAATTTATTATCCTGATTCCCTGATAAGGACTGCTTGCTCCATTGCTTTATGGCTTTTCCTTATAAGAGGGTCAAACGGTAGGTGAATGTGAATTATCTTACTGGGTACTCCCCCACAAGGACTTGTGCCACTGTGTAGGGTTGAGCTTCCTTTCATGTTGGACTGGAAGAGGTTATGGAAATCAGGGCATGTCAGGGAAGTCTGCTGGTGTAGTTTTTGTGGTGCCAGTTGTCCAACGCTGGTCCGCAGCTAAAGGGGCCAGTACCTGCTGACTACCCTGCCGTTGCAACCTTACGTGGCCTAGACAAATTGAAATTTGTAATTTTCTTCCTTTTCACTCCCTAAGGTCGACCAACCCTTTACCGGGACGTATCTTCACTTCTGATGTCTCAGTTGCAATGGCTTTAAGCTTAACGGATGGTGATTAGTGCGGTGACTAACCTTTAACTCCCCAAGAACTCCGTGGAACGTCCCAGCTATGGCATTGTCCAAGTTAACAGCAAGATTTTGAAAGTAACTTCTGTCGTTTGAGTTTATCAGGTTTTCATCTTCTACTATTCGCCTTATGAGTGCTTTTCTGGTCATAGGGACGAATTTTCGAGGGACGTAGTATTCAGATGTACCAGGCGTTCCTTGTTGAAGGGCAGTAGTTTGTTCCTGTTGAGCACCCTTTTTCGAGCCAAACAGGGTGGGCAATTTGAGAAAAGAAGATGCAGAAGCTCTTCGAAGTTTTATATAATTCCCAGTCAAATTGGGGAGAGAAAAAATGTATTTTCTACTGTATGGAAGCATTGTCGGAATGAAAGATGGCGACAGTCAACTTTGTCCTTAGAAGACTGGGTATGAGTCTACTAAGGACAAAGTTATTTTAAGACCATGAGTATCGGCCGGACCGATACTCATGGTGAGGAGAATTTGCTATCTTTCTATAATCAAGAAATGGATAGATGTTCTAGTGTTCTCGGATAGGGACGAATAAACCGTAGGCCCCGTCTCCTGCAGGGTTAGGGGTAGGAGACGTTAATTTCCCACGCATGAGAAAAGCCCCATGGGGAGTGGTCAACTCATGTATTTAAGAATTTAAGAATTTTTAAAACGTCTCCTACCCTAACCCTGCAGGAGACGGGACCTCCTTTTATTCGTCCCTATCCGAGAAGACTAGAATATCTAACCATTTCTTGTTGTTATAGAAAGGTAGCAAATTCTTCTCATTTATTTTAAGACCTTGAGTATTGGTCCGGCCGGGGCTTGAACCCTCGACCTCCTACACAACAGTCCAGCGCACTATCCATTGGGCTAACTGGGCGGCGGTGTCAGGGAATGGTGTATGTATATGTATGTATGTATGAGTCCTTATTAGGCCCTTTCGGCTGGCGCGCGCTTTTCTGATCACTCAACCTCTTGCTATTTTTCTTCCAATATTGGCGTAAACCTCCTTCACAAGTACACACTCCACTTTATTCGAGATTACAAATAAAGCGCCCTAAGCTCGAATTTTGGCGACTAGATCACCTGTGTTTTCCCGCGTTTTTGGCGAGCTTTTGGCAGTTTGCTTGTTTCTGCCGTGGGCTCCTTGGCGTTGTGATATTTGATTGCCCGGTGTGACGACTTTTGTTTTGGTTTTACAACATTGAATTGAGAATTTGAGATGAGCTCTAAACTGTAAGATGGAAGCCCTAAGATAAAGAGATTTGCTAGTGCAACGGGAGACGAGAAACAACAGCAGAAAAGCCTAAAGACTTCCGGTTTTTGTAACTAAGACCGCTCTCTTTTCCTCTTTATGATTTAATCAGTTTGGGATCTCCTAGTACCGCAGATCAATCGAAAGAAACATCCGGCTTATACGATAATCCATTAAAAGGATTTTACATACCACGGCTTACTTGACTTTGTTTCCTCAGTAGAATGTTGCTTTTGTAGAGGGTGACAACAGTCTGAAACAATGAGAAAAGGTTAAAAAAAAAAGGTGATAAACTTTTAAGCAAAATCTGTTCTGTAAATTGGGATAAAAAATGCGAAAATAACCTTGTAATACAAGAGGAGTTAAGCGTGACGTCTAGATGAGTAAGTGTCTAAACAGAAAATTGGTTCTTCTCATTGTCAGTCGTTTGTACGCTAAACAGCTGAATATGCTGATACATACTGACAGTGTCCGCGACCAAAATAGTTTTCGCTAATTTCTATGGGGATAAATTAGTGATTTTGGGAAAAACGACAACAAGCAGAACTCTGTAATGCCGTTTTTTCGCCCCCGCGAGCGTCATTGCTTAAACTTACCACAGTCACAACGCACGGCAGGCGAGTAACTGGTAATATAAGAGAATTGGGATTTATGAAATGACAATTTGATAAATGGTGGTTTCATGCACGGACCCCGTGACTTAATTTTGTTGCTCATCGGTCGCTCCGGTAGAATTTGAATGGTATAGTGATTGCGCTAGCATGATTTTAGGCATAATTTGGAAAACGAGCATAATTTTTTGTTCTTGTTGTAAAAGTAGCACTGCTAGCATAATCAGCGTATTTTTTTTACTCTTTTGTCACCACGACATTACATGTTTGATCTCTAAAAATTGATTATTTTCATGTTCGGTCTATGATTCAGTTCGTCAATCCAGAGGACTGGGCACGCCGGAAGTAAACATTGCGCTTGTCCCACTCCTTCTTTCGCTGGCAAAAAATTGGCCTTCAAGAGAAACGTGACGCGAATGTCATAGATTTTGACTCATTAAGTCACCGCTTCTAGTCTGGATTGAGTCCAGTAGTTAATTGTGTTATATCTGAACAAGTATCAACTCAAAATAAAGAAGATTTTTTTTGCACGATTATCAACAATAAATGTATAATTTAGACTTTTTTTGTGTTTCTGTTTTGAAAAGCACTCTACTTGATTTAAGAAAAAGTCGTATAATCTTAAAAAACGGGCATAATTTTGAGCATAATTCGAAAAAAGATTGAGAAATGCTAGTTGCATGACAAGATTCTATGAGGGCTCAAGGCGGGCTCATGACATATAATAGGATTTTTTATACCCACACCCCTGATGGACGATCCCTCACGATCACGGTGGCTAAGGTCAGTAGGCATAATCTTTATTACAGATCGCTTGCTTAACTTAGCTTCGTGATCTCATATGACTGACACTATGGTTAAAGTTTTTCTAAGTTTTATTAGAGTCCCTTAATAGGAGATTTTTGAAAAGTTGAATTTATGGATGCGAGTGACCTCGTACCTCATGGGGGCATTCGCCCGGTTGGAACTGGAAACCATGCAAATATTAGGGTGCGGTGAGAAGTTTTATCAATGAAATCCTCGAAGTTTCTGAACAACAATAGTAGCCACACCTGACAACTAAATGTTTGAATGATTTATGTTTTGTCGTAAGGCGGCATTCTAGTCCTCAAGGAGGACCAGGTTTCTCTCTATGCTTGTTTTTTTTTTTTTTTTTCGATAATTTTGTCTCTGTTAGACCTCTTAGGTCTTATCTATGACGAGAAAACTCTCCAAAGTTGCATGGAATTGTCTTTGTTTACGAAAAAAGCTTTGTTTCCGGCCTCGAAGCCTTAAATAAATTTATTCATTGCCAGCCGGTGAAAACACCTGCACCTAGCCGCCTCAGAAGGGACGCGCAACAAGTGGATGATATTTCCAAAAAAAATTAAACCGTTTTCCTTCACCTAACAGAGGTTAGACGTGAAAACTCGACGACGATTTGTCAATATAGAAGGGATTCTTAACCTCAGAACTCATTATTGTACGTGACATTCTGAGGAAATTCACGGCGCAACTTTGCGCTCACTTCACTTCCGGTTCTCAACAAAGCCTTTGCATTATGAGCATGCGTAAAGACGCGCGCGCGCGACAAATCCAGAAGTCGATCAGAAGAAGGCGTGTTGTGTTTTGTGAGAAGTTTGAGAGTTTGTAGAGCGGAAAATTTGCCTTCCAGCGATGGGTTAGTAATATTTAGTCGTTTAAGTGGTAAATACTTGCAATATTTTTTGCATTGTGGGCGTTCCTTTGAGTTTGGACAGGCAAACGATCGATGTTGCGGCGTATCGGTCGCAGGAGAGAGCTGGGTCTCATATTTTGCTTTGACCGCTACTGTGGGTTGAGGCGCAGTCTTCAAAAACTGGTTTACAATTTTATCATTTATTTATAACGTATAGCTTCTTGTCATACTCATTCGTATCCAATTTCTGTCTTTTTTCCTTGGTGAACGGACTTTCTGTCTACTCATGATGGCTTCGATCAAAAAATATTCGTTCACGTCAAAAGCGGTGAGTACTGCTTGTCGATTCCGAATTGCTTTCAGATAACAATCTTGCAATTTGACTCTCCTAAACAACAGGCATGTATGTTTTCTACTGCACAGAGCGCCAAAGGTATGGAAGGCTACGTTGGGTTTGCTAATCTTCCAAACCAAGTTTTTCGCAAGAGTGTCAAGAAAGGATTCGAATTCACTGTAATGGTGGTTGGTAGGTAACATGCTTACTACTGAAATTACGGAAGATTAATGTGTTCGAATAAATTAATTTGAACACATTTCACTGCCTTCTTCTGCTCTACTTAGAAGGAATTGAGTAAAACCTAATGTGCACCGTGTAATTTTGTAAAATTTTTGAGGGAATCTCGCGCAGAGTATGAACCCGGCATGTTTTACGGCATGGCGTGAGAAGACACGAGACACATATTTCACTTGACGGAGAACGTTCCAGTTTTTTAGCCATTGTTTCGCTACTGTTCGATGAAGACTCGTAGATTACGCTGTCAAAAGAAAATCATTTCTCTTTGTCACCAACTGATTTGCTGTTAAACGTGAATCAGGAAATTCGTGTCATTATATTTAATATAACCAGCGTATGACTCGATCGTGGTTTTGCTTCACCAGCTCTACAATTTCCTGTTAATTTATAAGTGAATATTATTATTCGACAGCCGATCTTGAGAGCGTTTGTATAGATACATCATACAATTTACATGCAGGTTATCACGGAACGAAACCGAAAAAAAAGTAAACAAGAAATATCGCACGAAAAGGCGATACCTTGTGTGTAAAAATTCATATGAATTTCACTTTCATGTGTTTTAACCCACTCACTTTGTGTGCGTGATTCCTTAAAAACATTCTCTAGGCTCTTGAGGTCAACTTTCATTCATTGATAAGAATCAAGAGGCGCCAATGACTCTTATCTTAGATTTCAGCTTAGCGATGAAACATTTTCGAAGGTATATGGAATTTTCATTATTTTCGTGTCAGATGAATATGTTCGCTTTGACAAGACGGCACTTCAAGTTGTAAATTTAAGACTTGTGCTAGATCGAACAATAGTTTAACTATTAATCATCATTATAATTTTTTTTTGCTTGATGACCATGTCTAGTGTTTTCTTGTCTTCGGTATCTGTTGTTTTCAATTGAAGAATTATTTTTGTCACGGATTTTTGTTTCGTGAAATGTCACTTAATTCTAGATGCATTTTTAATCCTCTTTGCGGGACGTAGATTTAGTCAACTAGTCGAAACTTTTCTTTTGTAATGACCCAGTAGAAATCCAACTCTATTCCCAATATAATTTGCATATTTTGACAATTTAATTGCCTTTGAAAACGATTGTCTCGTGAATTTCTGTTAGAATTTAACATCTGCTTGTAAATTGATTACTTTCTTCAAAACGAAATAGAATCAGGTGCAAAATCTCCACGTGTGATTCAAACTAAAACAGATGTAAGAAGCTCTACTGAACCATGGGTGATTATTTTGTTTTTCGTCCGACCACCATGGCCATAAATGTACTTTGCTATGGCATTTGTGGCAGCAAGAGATTACCACTAGTTGTCCAAATATTTTTCTTTATAAAACATGTCATTTCCTCAAAGTACTAATTGAAATTCTTGTCAAGAAATGTTTATTGTGTGAGTAAGCAAGGTTACTCAAGGGGGCCTTTCATTTATTTTCATACCTTCCACAAAATTTAGGTAAGATCCATCTTGTAACTTTTGCAAGAAGGATGTGTAACTATGAAAAATTGTTCTATTCATCTCTTTGCAAATTGCATCTCTGTGGGAATCCTTGAAGCTTGAATTTACCAGCAGGCTTTATCACTATTGTTTTACCTTGAGATTACTTTGCAGTACTTCCTTTGGTACGTGTCCACCCATCTTTTGTGGTCAGCCACTCTATTGTGGCATTGTTACTGCAGTCCCTTTACCACTGCTGTTAATTGTAGCTTTCCTAAAATTGTGAAATTGGTTTTAATATGCTGAACTTTCAAATTCCACATATAAAGCAAGTTCAAAATGTTTGTCAAATTTTAGTCAATGTTAATTTTTGCCACAGGTGACTGTTACTAGACTTGTGTATTTGATTGCGGAAACATAATGCCCAATTATGTTTTGAGGTTTTAATGATATTTATTCAAGCAGCACCAAAATCTTTAGATTTGGAATTTAGTATTTCGTTGTAAATTATTTTGAGCTGGGAATGTCAGTTTTACAGCAACAGATTATAAGCTTCCAAAAGGGTTTTGGGTTTTTTTTTTTTTTCATTAACTGCACATGAAGGTGATGCTAACTAACAGCTGGTTTCTCCTCATAACTTTTCACTTCAAAACCTTCCCAAGAATATGTTCAATATTTGACAATGATATTATTTATTTGGTTTTCTTCGGACTCTTTTTTTTTTTGCGTTGTTTTCAATTTAGGTATGGTTTAAATTTTTTTAAGTTGTAAATGTCACCATGTCGTAAATTGTGAATTTTTGAGTTTGTGGTGTTCCTTTTCATCAGCTTTTAGTAATAGAGAAGATTGCATAAAAAAATTGGATCTGTGATAAAATCATTTTTACTGTATTTATGAAGAGGCTTGGTGAAATGTGATATAAAGTGCATTTTATTTGAGAATTAACTTTGTAACTCTATCCTGAGCTTTTTTTTTTTATATAAATAACTGTTCTTGATACAAAGTATAAATTGAGGTTTGATTTCAATTGGTTTCTTAGAGTTTGACTTCCTCTGTGAGGGACCTATAATTACTAATTGTTATGCTTTCACTGTTTATCACTGTCACAGTGGTGATGGCAAGATTCATCATTTCCAGTCTGGTTGATAGTTGTTAACAGTGTTAGCCAAGATCAAAGTTGTAATTTTTACAGCAACTACCCAAATATTATCCCTTCCCTATTCTTATTATTTGCCATAATGTTCGTGTTGATATTCAAAATATTGCAGTTTGCCAACTTGTCAGCCAAGCACATTGGCAAGAATTATTTATTACTTATATTTAGCCCTAAATGCCTGTCTCCTTTTCAGGAACATTAATTCAAGTGGTACTTTATAACTACATGACTTGTACATTATCAAGTTATTTTGAGCTTTTTCTTTTGTTTTAGAAACATGAGTCTTGCTCGGTACTGCTTGTAAATGTACAGATTCAGCTTTTTTCTCATGTAGTTGAAGTATAATCGTACTTTACCATTTTAGGTCACAAATAGATCAATCTTTTTCACATAATTGGAAGAACTTGATATTATGAGAATACTTGGGGGTTTTTTTTCTCAGGTTACAGAATTGTATAATCATGGAAGGGTACTAAGCTGCTTAATAAATATTCATGCAAAGCTAGAGGCTATTACTTTCATTCTACAGTTAAAAGCTTTACCATAATCTAGCTTAGAAAACAGATGTGTTTTAACTTGTTGGTGGTAATGAAAACAATATCAAGATATTTTTATTCTTAGACATTTACAAGAGTCAAAGTTCATTCTCTTTTTTTTTTTAAAGTTTTAAGTTGCATGGCAGGTGTAATTGAATATGCATCATATGGTATATAGGTTTTACTGTAATGGCAAATTGCCACATTAGTATAATCAGCAACATCCCAGATTTGACTGACCATTTTAGTGTAGGCAAAAGCTCTTTTCTTGAAACTGTCTTGTGAGTGTTAACAATATCAGCCTCGCTTGATCCTTTGGCTTTAGATTGAATTGAAATGTCAAGTGATAGCAGTGTTGTGGTGTTAGAGGAAGAAAAATAATTTTCAAGTTTTTTTTTTTTTGTTTTTTGACCCAGAGTAATACCTTGGGGCACTGTGTGTGTATTTTTGCTTGTTTGTTGATGCTTTGTTGTGAGGTTGAAATTTTTAACAGAACCATATTTTTTTTCTAGGTGAAAGTGGATTGGGGAAATCAACACTGCTCAATTCACTGTTTTTAACTGATATCTACACACCTGCTGCATATCCAAGTGTAGAGGAAAGACTAAACAAAACTGTTTCAGTAAGTGATTGCTCTATACCTGGCAAAATATTTTGAGTTAATTGCTCTCTACCCAGAAGTTAAAATACTGGTAATTGGATACTGCAAATGGTGTTAAAAATTGTTATGGCAATGAAAAAAAATGTAGAAGGTTCTTTTACATGTGCTGCGGTTTGCTTTATCTGTACTTGTGAGCCACATTTACAAATTAATTGGGAAATGTGATTGTTTGTTTGTTTTCCCCTGGTTTCTCTCTACTTTTAGATGAAGAATGTATAGTGAAGTTTTCCTTTCATTTTTTTTTGGAGTAAGAGAAAACTAGGAATAAAAGATAAATTTTTGTTTGTTATTCTTGCAGAAAAAATTGCTCAAAGCAAACTTAAGGATAAAACAGCCTGAAAATTAATATAAGTTAGTTATTCCATCAGCTTTTCAATAATTGACTTGCTGAGGGAAAAAAACTGTGTTGTAGTTAAAATTTGGGAATTTTGGATTGGAATGGTTTTTTTGTTTAATGTAGATAAAACCTTCAACAATCGAGATGAAAGAGGGAGGTGTGCGACTGAGACTAACAGTTGTTGATACTCCAGGATTTGGAGATGCTGTTGACAACACGGACTGGTAAATCACAGCAGATTCTGATTTTTCTATTAACTTAAAGGTGTTCTATTGCAGTACTATTATTATCAAAAGAAAAGAAAGGGTCTGAAGCTTCTTACACTGCTCATGATTGTCCTTTTTTTCAGCTGGAAACCTATTATTGAGTACATAGACAACAAATTTGAAGAATATTTAAATGCAGAATCAAGAGTGTTTAGATCACCTTTTCCAGATGACAGAGTACACTGTTGCTTGTACTTCATTGCTCCTACAGGGCACTGGTTAGTTCATTTTGCAAATTATTTTTCCTTTTATTTTGAAAAACTTTTGACCTATGTTGATGCAATAGTGACACAGTGGTGAAGAGACTTTGACTATCTAAGATTCATTGCTATTTTCATTTTTCAGTCTAAAACCTTTGGATATAGAATTTATGAAAAGACTTCATAACAAGGTGGGCTTGTAACCTTTTGTTGCACTGACAAGCTTTTGCATTAATTTACACCTTGACTCATGACCCCTTAATTCCAATGATCTGATTGTTAATTCTTTCCTCTAGCTGCTGCATATTTCTTTGTAATTAGTTACGAGAATTTTGTGTTAGATCAAGATAACCTCTGCCTGATAAGTCTGTGTAGTCTCATTACCTGTTTGCTTAATAATGTATGGATATTAAAGGGAGAAGATACAAGTTAACCACTCAACTAATTACTTATTTTAGGTGAATGTTGTACCGGTGATTGCAAAAGCTGACACTTTGACCCATGATGAGTGCACCAAGTTCAAAAAACAGGTTTGAAACTGTCATTTTTTTTTGCTTCTATTGTAGTGCCTTGTATGGAAATATTATTTTAAAAAAACTGCTATTTTATTGTCAGATACTTAAAGAAATAGAGGAAAATGACATTGGAATTTACAGATTTCCAGACTTGGGAGGAGATGATGATGATGATGTAGCTGCTGTCAGTATGAAGGTATCAATTAACTCTCAGAAAAGGAAGTCTTGCATGATGCTGTTCTTGTCTGTAAAAGTGCAAATTTAATGCCATGTGATTTGGGAAGCATATACTTGCACTTGGATATGCAGGTAACTTGTTTCATTCCGAACATAATTAGGCAGATGGACTAGTACTAGACGCATCTGGCTCGTTTGTCAAGACTAGTCTGCTTCTGGTCTTGGACAAGTCCCATACGAGTTTTGTGTGAATTTGGGTCCCCTTACCTTTGAGTTGCACTGTAACTTGGATTTTGTGTTTGTGCTTTATTGTTATGGAATAATATTATTTTGTTTACAGGACAGAATACCTTTTGCCGTGGTTGGTAGCAACACGGTGTTAGAAGTTAATGGAAAGAGAGTGAGAGCCAGGGTATACCCATGGGGTGTGGCAGAAGGTATTGCCTGTCATGACATGTTTTTCACAAATTCTTTGCAAAATCTCCAATTGAAGTTTACAAGCCTTTTTTTTTTTTTTTTCACCCATTTTGCCTCACTACCTGATGCATTGTTCAGCATTTTTTAACAGCCGCTGTAAAAAATTTAAGCATTATGCCAGTAAAGTTTGATACTCCACCTGCAATGTGCATGTATTGTTGATAGTGTTAATTACGTAATCATGTGTTGTAAGCTCCGACCTGTCTTTATGAATACAACTACTTGTTGGAACATTACCGATAGTCGATGTCGCTTATTTGCTTGTCTTGCGGGATTATGAACTGTTGATTTTAGTCTCCAATGATTACTTTCATTGTCTCTTTTCGTTTTTCAGTTGAAAATGTAGACCACTGCGATTTTGTTGCTTTGAGAAATATGCTGATCAGGTAAGTACAATGATTCTTAACAGATAAATCCTCGTGCTGTACCAGTCAATAATATCAAGGCTATTATTTAGGCAGATGTGCCTTCTGATAATATTTTGTTCCCTTCAGTTTTACCGTGCATTAAGTTTAAACCCCGCAATACGTTTATCCAAATATACTCTTTCACTCAAAAGAAACCAAAATCGATTTTAATATATAATCTCTGGATTAGTGCCGACCTCCTTTCGAGAACAGGTCACAGGTGCTGTAGCATAGTTCGAAAACTGAAAAAATAAGCGTGGTAGCCAACACCAGTAGCGAAGGGAACATTTTTGCTAGCTTCTTTTGGCATTACGATCTAAGTAACTGGGAAAATTTCAGTAATTTATAAAGGACTCTTATTGCGTGAGTGCGCGTTAGATAATAACCGATAGCTTTGATGATCTCATATCAAACACGCGTAAGTAGAGTGATCGTCTTATTAATAATTTCCGCATGATGTTGATAAATCTCTTTAACTTATTATTTTCTTTTTGAATAAGCCAACTAATCGATTATCAAAGATTGACTTCCGTTTTATTTGTTAAAGCTAAGCCAATCAAACTTATTGAATCGGATTATTGAATGATCCAGTTTTTGATAATATTGGATAACTCCCTATCCAGGCGTAGATCCATTGTGAGGCCATGACCATTTGCCCTGACGAAGGACTAAACGCACAAAACGTCAGCCTGAGTTTGCAAAAGTTTGAGAACACTAAACGGACGAGGGGCTTGGAAACCAGGCAGACTCTGAACTCGACATGATAACCCCAATATCTGCTGCCGATATTGGGTTTTCTTTGACTGTATGCTCTCGACCAATCAAAGTTTTCATAGCAGGTCTAATGTATGATATTATCGACTCATTGATGAAACCAAATTTTATTGTGGTACTCCCCACCGACGCAGCAACACAGGTTCTTAAGAAACTTATCCCCTTTATTCATGAGCAAAAATATTTGTATTCCTTTAGAACGCACATGCAGGATCTCAAGGATGTGACGAATGACACTCATTACGAAAATTACCGCTGCGAAAAGCTGGCAGCCATGACTGTTGGCTCACCCACTAATCAACCAAGTTCTAAGTAAGTAACTTTACTTCGCATCAGGTTAGCTTGAGGACCATTTTCAAAATCTCTTTAAGAGAAATTCAATGTCGAATGTCACGGGATTACATTCATTACTCTGCCCTCTGATTGGCCTAGAAATCTCACGCACCATCCTCTAAACCATTCAGGTAAAAAACTGAAGAAATAGACTGTCTCATAAATTGTCACAAGAACAAATCTTCAACGAGCAAACAAAGGAACAACCTAACTAAACAATAACGAAGCAGTTTTACTTTCGATAAAAATTGTGCAACAAACCAACTCTATTCACTGTATGGTTGTCAAGAAGCGTTTTGTTTTCTACTGAGACATTCATATTTTTCAGAGGTGTTAAACATCAAACAACCATCTTTGATAATCTTTTTGTAGCGTCTCGCTAAGTAGAAGTCCTCTGGAACAACTGGAAGCTGAGAAAGAGGAACGAGAAATGAAACTGAAGAAAATGGAGCAGGAAATGGAGCAAGTGTTTGAAATGAAAGTCAAGGAAAAGAAAAAGAAGCTCAAAGATTCCGAGGCGGAGGTGAGTTGGACGGTGTGTGTGAGCATTAAGGCGAAGATGGACAGCTGAGGCTGAACCTTCGTAGCAATCGGTCTTTGGTTTTAAGACACTGCATAGTAAAGCGCTCTTTTGTATTAAGAAAACATTTCAGAGTGAATATCTTTTCAACAGCTCGGCAAGAAAAACGAACAGATGTGGAAACAGCTCGACCAGCAGAACAAGGAGCTGGAGGAAAAACGAAAACAATTCGAGAAGGAGAGGGGACAGTATGAAGAAGAACTGAAAAGTAATGGTCTGAAGGGTCTGGAACGGTCTGACTCCTCCACCAAATCACTCAAGTAGGTTGACTCCTTTAAAAAACACATGTGGTCTTACCTTTGTAATAGAACGAGAGGTGTCTCAATTACCTAGTTTACAATGGACGTTGTTGAGACAAAAGGCTGTCATAAGTAGTTTGTTTGTTTGTTTTTTTTTTATTTTAATAAACAGACCCTTCTTCAAAAAGGCTGACTGAAAGCGAAAGTTACTCCGTCTTAGACAACTGTACTCAGGAAATTTAGACCAGTGTCCAAAAAAGCACTCCTATAAACTTTCATCGCCCACGTGATTTTTCAGACCAGAAAATTGTACTTCGGTTTTAGACCTCCAGTCCGACGAATGTCCGTAAATATATGTTTTGATGTGAAATATTTCTTTGTGCTATTTGAACCATGCATTTTCCTTTAAGGAACCACATTTCCTGATGGTACGATTTCGGTTGCCGTTTTGAAAAAGGGCCTGTTTGGCATTATAGAGTAATTTGTGTCGTTGTGATAACCCCTCATCGGCGACAAAATTTGTGATTTTTGTGGGGATCGTTTAAAAAAATCACTACTATTTGACTTCCTCGTGATTTTTGGCGATTGCCGGAAAGCTTAGCTCAATACCGAACATCAGGGGCAGGGGAGATGTATGAAGAAGGGGAAAGGGGGTTGGGGAATTATAGTTAATATCGTTAGTGCAATTTTTTGTCCAATAGCCTTTATGCATGATTACGTTTAGCCAGAGGAATCGTTTGCTCAACATTTCTGTGTTGCCCCTGTCATCTTCGTGTTGGTTTTACGTGGAATTTTTTTTGTGGATATAAGAGCTTTTACAATACATTCCGCAATAAGAAAGCGAGGCTTGGGTATACGTTACGTAGCTTTCCATGAGGCTACGTGGGTCTTTGGCTCGTCCGTCTGTGTTAAGACCTGAATTATAACGTACGATGACATTTCGAAGAGTGTGATTAATAGTGCTGGAAGAAACTGTGGTTTTGCTATTGTTTTTTGTTTGGAGTATTTGTTGCTCGTTTTTAGTAGGTGTATGCTTATTTAACAGCTGTAAGAGATGAAGTTGGCGTTGGCGCACCCTATCCTCCCCCCATAATTAGATAAACCTCCCAAACTTATCAGTGGAACGTTGTGAAAGCGATTTTGCTCCCCTCCCAGACATGCTGGCTGTGATGGTCATTGTTAGAGTAAAAAGCCTTTCTCATGTAGACAGTTTTCTTGTTTCTGTGCTCTCAGACATCTTATGTTAGCCTGGTGGAACTCTTGGAGCGCTTTTCGATGAAGTGTCAAACTTATAATCACGTTTGTTTTGAATCCTGATTGGTCAAATACGTTCGAGTCGCCTTCTCAATCGATCAGATTCTATTGGTTCTTCTTGAAGACGCGTTGTGATTGGTTTAGAAAACTCGCGCTGGTCTCCTAACCAGTCACACGCAAAACTAGAACCAATTATGAATCGGAATGAGTTTCATTCTACATTTTTACCTTGAAATCCTATTGGTCGTTTTTTAATTTACCTTGGTTGTGATTGGCTCCGCTGTGGTAACTTCCCTCGCTGTGGCATTACAACACTTTTTCGAAGTGCGCTCTAAATCGGAAGACTCTGAGGAATCTTTCATTTTCTTTTTTTGTCTACACCGTTTGCTGCAAAGTAGTCTCAGATCATTTTTATTGCTTAAATCTGTGCAGTTCCGCTTTTTGGCTGAGTAAGTGCTGCTGCGCAATCGCTTTGTAGTATCTACGTGTTCAACTTTCGTGCCCGAAACGTTAAATTAGGTGAAGGTTCTAACAAAGAATGTTTAAAGCTTAGCTGTTTAATATAGTTTGCAGTAAAGTTGCAAAACTCTAAAAAATAGCCATAAAATAGCCATTGTGTTAAAACGAGGTGTTTTAAATGGTCATTTAAAGACTGCTTGACACTGACAATGCGTGTTTAAATATTCACACAATGAGTTACTGTCGCCGTGTATGTAACGTACTGTGTTATATCTAAAACCCTTAGATAATTAGCTATTTCACGGCTGACAATCACAAACTCCTGTTAGCTTTCCGTCTGCGCACTCTCTAGCCATAAATCATTTTTAAAAATAACAACGTGATCATTTGTCTACACAGAGAGAATCATCGAGCTCTTTTCCATGGAGCATTGTGTTTCCCAAAGGCGTAAATCTAGAATCAACAAGGTACTGACGTGTTTTTTTTTATACTCCTGAGTCAGTAAAAAATAGTTGTTTTCTACGATAAACAAATTTATTTTGTTCAGAAATGCAAGGTCCATTGATCCTGCCGCCATAAAAGCAATAAACTTAACTTTGCCAAATAATGCCATGTAAAAACCGTGGTTAGGTGCTTACAATAATGCCTTAAAAAAAGTTGTGAAGTGTACTAAAAATCTCAAATCCAGATGGGTCGCCTCGTTTTATTTTCAGAATTAAATATGCAGCCTCGAATTAATTGCTAAACCTAAAGCTAATCTTAAAAACCGCAAAGTTCATATCTCACCATTCATTTACTCTTTAATCTCTTGGTTCGCTAGGAGCGAAAGCTAACTTTAAGATGTCTGGGCAGCCCCGTAAAGCTTTGGGAAATCAAGTGCGCCTTTTCCACTGTTCTTTTTCTCGTACGGAATCTACAATAGCGGAAAGCCAATGTTTTCCGTAGACAATAGAACTAAACAGTAATTTTGAAAAGAAAAAGGCCAAAATCTTAAGTGTCTTCATCCACGCGGCCACATTTTTTATTTAAAGGCAAAAAAGGGTGTTTGCAATGAAGAGTTTATCTTCATCAGGGTCTATGGTAGCCCTTGGAGATTTTCGTTTTGCCCCTCCCCTCCCTATCGTTTATTATTTCACGTGCATGTTTGTTAGTCCCACCTTAGCCTGTGGTAATTCTGCTGCGGCACATTTGTTATCCCAGGGTGGGAGGGAAGTGAAACTGTCTCCCACCCCGCACACGATCGTGCTTCGCGTTGAGTAAACTTGTTTCTCCGAATCGAGTCAGTCGGAGCACGTTCGACTCTTTACCAGATAAATTTCAAACCGAAAAACTTCGTATGGAAGTTCACGTCCGATTTCGAACAAACCGGATGTGAGCTTTCTCTTTAACATGGGCCAGGGGATTAAATAAAAATTTTGTTCATCTTTCAGAGCGTCGGGAATACCTTATTGCTTCTTTTTAATCTGTTAGTAACTAATATTGATGCTTTCCACATGCTTTTGATCTGTGGTTTTCAGGGGTGGTCGTCGGGGTTTGCCGTTTCAATCTCATCGTAGAAGCTGTAAGATTTCGCTCCGTTTGTGGTGCACAAGCACGCTCGATTTTTGCACCAAGCACCATCACCCAGATCGAATTAAAAATATTACCTCTAAAAAGCATGTTACTTTTCTCTGGCACGCATTTCCCGTAATGCCAAAAATGGGAGGCAACCGCGTTTTTGTTGAACTATTTGGTTCGCGTCGAAAACGACTTGCGAAAATGTTCTCAAAGGGATAAATTGGTAGTTGATATTCAAAAGCCATAGAAATATATACAAATTAGTGTGGAAATTAACCTCAAAGCTAGGTTTTATACGATCGAGTACACTATGGAGAGTACATATTGACACGACTGATGTTCTGATGTTTTTAGGAAATTCGTTGTGCTTCGCAAATGAATCGATGAACGATGGCGATAAGCCATTGAAATAATTATTCTTAACAGATATTGGATACGGCTTATATGTTAGTGTGCTCTTGTTTACCTTACAGGTCCGTAGATGGGTTCGTGAAGGAAAAAGATAAAGAGAGCAAGAAAAAAGACAAGAAAAAGGGTTTCTTTTAAATGACTTTTACCCCAGAGAAGACTGTACCACGATAAAATTAGTTTATTATGGACACCTCATTAACATATTTGGTGCGACCTTAGATTCGACGAACTACGGAGACACAAGGAGAACGCAGCGCGCGACACATGTGTAGTTGTTTTGTATGAGTGCGCGCGCATACATGTGTAGTTGTTTTGCATGAGAGTGCGCGCGCATAAGAAGTTTTAACATTGAGTGGAGAAAGCGTGACTTGAAAACCATTACTCCCCGAAAATAAGAATTTTGGTATTACATCGTTTTAAATTGTTTTTCTGCCAAGAGTATATCGTTTAAAGATTATTTAATGTAAATTTGAAAATGTATTGTGGTTATTTAGTGTACCAACATTCATTATACAACTGAAGTTAAGTGTGTAAGGGAAGAATAAGTTTTCTTTAGCAGTTTTGAGTAAAATTTATTAGCTTGTAATTTTTAGTTAAAAATTAATCGCTGTGATCAGGGTTTACATTCCCCTATCTCATTTCATTCAAAAACCTGTTTAATTCTAAGCGAGAGTTTGTCGTGCCATTCTGACTTTCCCCTCGGGAGGAGGGGGGGGGGGTCAATGTGCCTGGACCGTTTTCAGTGCGAAGAAGTAAAAGTAGGAATATTAAACCTAGGCACACCTATGCATGGCTTATCTAGAAATCTCTGTATCTCAAAAGAAAACATTTTTTATCTTTATCCAGGCTATATGTATATATGTATGACCTAAATCGTGTTATGTTTAGTGCCACTATGAGTGACTATGTGCGATTATTCTTACCGTCCAAACCCTCTTAAGTTACCACTGAAGAATAGTTAATTGATGAATAATTGTTATTGCCCCCTTAAAAGATAGTGTATAAAACCACACTAAAACAGCCTTATTGAGGACGTTGCTTGTGTGTTAGCTCTTTGACATGTAAACCAATTTTACAGAGGTCTAGGTCAGAGACCTCATAGTTGACGGAGCTCGGACTTCTACCAAAAAAAAAAATTCTTTTAAGTTATTGATCCCAAATCGTTAACTGTAGTTGGGAATGACCTTATGAACTGGCTGTGGCAACGAATTAGGATTTGGTCTCTCGTAAATGGAATGGAAATTGTTGTTTGACCTTGTCAGGCGAAGCGTACTTTTGATGTAACAAGAGATTACCAGAGTCGAACTCGTTCCCAGGGCTTTCCCTTTTCGAATTTTGGCGGGCGCCAAAATTCAAAAAGGGAAAAGCCCTGGGAACGAGGTTGTATCAGAGTGAAGGAACCATGTTACCCTTTGACCCCAAAGACTGACTAGCATCTAATATCTCCGTAAAATATCACCCTTGAATAAAAAATTAAGGTCATTAGAGTAAAGGAAATAATCACCAAATAAAGACCTTACAGAACAGAGTGGAGAAAATATATGCTTAGGTTGGGGTGTAAAAGATTAACTAGAAAAAAAGGAGGGAAGACCCACTGGGTGAGTTCAGTCCCTTGGTTCTAATCCTTGGTTACATCAACCGATAAGATGAGAGCCACTTTGCCTCGGCTATTAACAAAATTCTGTCTAGTTGTCGACGTAGTGATTTTAGTTGTTTGTTGCCCTCCACCATGACGCTGAAATTTGATATAAAAAAAGGCTGTTACGATGTACATATGAAATTTGGTCTTCAGTTGGAATTTGGGCAACAGTGTAGCCTGCGAAGCAAATCCTGGGGGAGAGGAGGGGGGGATTGGGGCAAGCGGAATGTGCGGAGGGGAGAGGGAGGAGCCCTCCTCCCCCATCCCCCTCCTTTCCTCCAGGGCTTGCTTCGAAGGCTAGCAAAAGTGAGGATGATAAGCTCAAAAGACAGGGAAGGCGACGGCCAAACAAAGCGCTGTAAAAACTAGTCTGGGATTTGTAGGGGTCTCTTAAGCCTGATTTTTATATAATCAATAAAGTTGATATGCGGTGGACTAACGTTTAACGCAGACTGAAGAACGAAAACCTGTGTTTCTTTTTTGTGTTCAAAGACTTCTACAAACAAACAAAGAAGCTGAGTTGAATAGCACCTTTTCCCTTACACTTTATCCCGTTGTTTTCAACAGCCCTATCCTTAGCAAGAAACAATTGGCAAAGGGGGACGATGTAGTGATTGAGGGAAGCACAGGAGGTGTATGTGCGTGGCCGCGTGAGGGCGGCGGGAGCTTCCTTTTCCTCCGCGATTGTAGACCAACGTTCCCACATTGCAGTTTTACTACCCATGATTTTAAGTGCCTTGGTTCATTTTTCTGTGCTGCAATCCAAGAAAAAGAGACCTGTAATCTAATAACATACCAGGTACTGCCATCTTATGGTATTCCTCGGGTTGTTCCATACAGTCGATGTTTCCGTGCATGAATGACTTTGACGTATCAGAGGAGAAGTGTCTGAATAAATATAAGTATGATACTTAGAACACTCATATGTGGCATCTTTGCGTCCCAAGCAGGCCGAGTCTGTGTAACTCTATGGCAAAATGGTCCCAATGTACTAAAAATTAATAATGTATTGGAAAAAGCTCTCCAATCTATAGAAATTGAATTTTGGAACACAGTCGCCTGTCTCACTTAATGTTGAACAAACAAACAACAGATGGGGGTACAAATAGAAATGAAAAAAAAAAAAAATATTGTCATCAGGGGTATTCCGGACAAAGTCAGTTATTAAAGAACGTGACTGAACTGTTAGCAGACTCTGTATCGCGAGGCTGAGTCGATCGTGTCGTACTCTCCCAAGGCTTCTCTCCACCCATGACGACCTAACTTAAAATAATGCAAGGAGGGGGATGGTGGAGAGGAGTAAAAATATTGTGAGTAGCTTCATGCTAAAAAAAACCACGGACGCGACTGGAGACTATACATTCTGAAGTCGTTCGAAAAAAGTAAATTAGGTGTGGTCAGTTAACGTACCTATTCAAATCTTCACTGCTCGCCCAAATCTCGTACACCACAAACGTGTTTGTTTCACTGATCGTGCGTATTGCAAGACTGCAGGAGTAATATCAAAATCATTAAGGAGATTAGGAATGAAGTTAGACTTCTCTTAGTCTCAGCTCTCAGCCGTTTGCACACTGAAGTAACGATGGTTACATTTACTGTAAACAAGATATTATTTCGCTCTTTTATTTGACAGGCTATGGCCAGGAACCTTGACTTATTTTATCTTAACAAGTAACTAATCCTGAGCATATCTGCTGACTTACTGGAAACAGCCATCCGCTAAAGACGTGGCTGCCACATAACTCTTCAAGTTTGAACGGAATTCTCTTTCAGCCTTAACTTGAAATTTCCTTGATACTAAAATCACCTGATAAAGAAAAAAACGTGGGGAAAAAGAGGTTCAATAAAGCGCGTTTCAACTACATATGGTAGAAAGTAACCTGACTTAATCTCAATGACCAATCAAAAGAAAGAAAAATTGCCTTATGAGCCAATGAGAACACGAAGTGAAAACAAGAAAAACTCCCAGAGTGCAGAACAACACTCTATATTTACAATAATGGCATTGAAACAAAGTTTATATCGAGAGTTTTTACAATACCGAGTGTTCTTTTCCAACTTCAACTTCTTCTTCATCAATGACATCAAATTTGACCTGTAATGAAATCATGTAGTCGACAAACCCTTTCTTTCATTGTAAATTTTTCAAATTATCAAAATCAAAGAATTAGCTATGGCTGTCACTTTTCATAAAAATAAACGGAACGTTACTTTTCATAAAATAACTGAGTAAATAAACTTTACGTAAGGGCATCTAGTATGTCAGCTGATAATGACTGCGGCTGACAGACTCAGTGAAATGAATATTTGGCTGAGGACATAGCTTTGAAAGCAAAAGTGAAAATAAATGGGTGGGTTAAAACAACGAACAGCCATGTTAACGTGACGTTATTAATCTTTTAACCCTTAAGAGTGACAAGTTAACAGGGCTCGACACTAACTTTTCAACTTACTAGCCAAGTGGCTAGTGACATCTCAGATGTTTTTAGATGTTACGACAAATTCAGTCTGTTTACTAGCCAAACTGGCTAGTGGAAATTGAAAACCACTTGCCAAAACTGAATTTCTACTAGTCTGTGGTTAGTGCTGGCTACCGTTAGTGTCGTGCCCTGTTAGCATTTAATTTCTCCCTACACTATTGCTCCTAAATTGCACATAAACAAATACAAATTCTCCTTGTCAACACCTAAGAAAATGTATGAAAAACAGTATGGAGAATATGTATGCTGATGTCAGGGTGTAAATGGTTAAAACACAGTTGCCATCATATTTTTCAAATTTATTCAATAAAGGCATGCTACAGAGGACATCATTCTAAGTGTTTAGGAAGCCTCATCTAAACAATTAGGCCCCAAATGGATAACGTTATGCACTGGATAAATCTCTATCCAGTGGATAGCGCAGTACGTTTTGTTAACACTCATCCGCGGGATAGCGATTTATCCGTTGGAGAGAATTATCAGTCCTTTGAACAACTGGAGCCAGGTGGTTGGGAGAATTGTTTAAAAAAAGTAATATTACGGTGGCCGTGTGGCCGTGTGGCCGTGTGGCCGTGTGGCCGTGTGGCCGTGTGGCCGTGTGGCCGTGTGGCCGTGTGGCCGTGTGGCCAAGTGGCCGTGTGGCCAAGTGGTTAGGGTGCTTGACTTGTAATCCGGTGTCCCGGGTTCAAATCCTCTACCCTGCCTGCCACTCATTGGATTTGTTCTCGGATGCTCCTAGTTCAACTCCTCGGATGCGCTCTGTAAATAGCCCCCTAGTCTGTCTCCTGCCAGTGGGGATTTTTTAAGCACTTAGTTTACATTGTGGCTGAAAAGCCCCTAAGGGGGAGCTTCAATTTACGTATTTATTTCATATAAACTCTTGGCCTTATCATTGGTTTCTTTAACTATTGCATATTCTCCCAATCCCCCTTGTGTAATAGTTGTAACCATAGAATCATGGAGGAAGTCCTCTATTGCTTAAATATCATTAAGGGAAACGAAGGCATACCTTATTTTCCAATTTGTTAATGAGCTCTGAAAGACGATCTACTTCCAGGGACAAGCCATGTCTCATTGCTTGCTGGCTAGCTGTTCAGATATCAAAATTTTGCAAGCAACTTTAACTCTGACATTGTTGTAAGTCATCTTATGACTTGTCCTGTATGTGTTACAGCACTACAACAGGCACAACCAGATATAAGACACTCAAGTGAGTATGGGCAAGTTTTCTCAACTTCACAAAATAACAACACCTCTGGATCGATGTCAGAATCTGAGCAACAGCACACCCACCCCTTCCTTCCCGACCCAACATTGATCCTAACTTGATAATAATCAGTTGAATTAGGGGAGAGGTAGGTACAGCTGCTCAGAATCTATTTGTATAGAACACAGACAACAAAACAAACGGCAGTGTGGCTGAGTGGTCAGCGTGTCAGACTCGCAATCTACCGCTCCCGGGTTTGAGTCCTGCCCTGACCACTACCTGGATTTGTTTCATGGTAGCTCTGAGTTCAAATCCTCGGCCATGCTTGTAAATAGCCAACTGGTTTGCCTTCGGTCAGTTGGGATTCTTACTATTGGTATTCTCAATTTGAATTATTTGTTTCAGTTGTTTGGTGGAAAACCTGTAAACTAGCTTTCAGCTTAGTGTTTCTACCCACTTTAAATAAAGGTTATTATTATTATTATTTACTATTATTATTATTATTATTATTATTATTAAAACAAAAAAAAAAAAACAAAAAAACAGTAGACTGCAAAGGTTAAAATTATAATATTTGTGGCTGCGGACACAGGTCTTTTTATCATTAGTCTATCGTTAATTTTAGTAAATAACAAGTGGGAAGTGAAAATGCCAGCTGCCAGTGCCTCTGGAGAATGCTGAGTGCTTCATGCAATTGCTTTTCAAAGGTCTCTGAAGGAAAATTGCCAAGCACTAAACACAGTGTGGCAAACATTAAATGATGACTTCTCATTTCAACTAATTGTGGGTTAAAGCCTGGCCAAAAGTCTATTATGCATCAGTGCTGGCAGTATTCACAAAGCCTCTTCTGAACAGAGAATGTACAATAATTTTATTGATCATGCATTGATATTTGGGTCTACTTAAACAAAGGCCTCTCTCAACTTTTGGCCGTGATTGTAGATAGTCTGGAAGAAGTTGGGGAGGAGAAGGAAGGTAGAATATGTGACTTCCTGATGGCTACTGAGTGCCACCTTAAATCATTCCTTCTACATTGTATAACCCTCCTTCTTAGAGGGATCAAGACTGGAAACTCAAAACAAAGAAACAAAACAATAAAAAATAAAATCTTTAATAACTTACCATCAAGGCTGGTTTGTTGTCCAAATGAATGCATTTTTCTCTTCATCCTGCCTCCTCTTACACTTGTGTTGGTGACCGCAGCTTGACAAACATCAGGTCTGGTGAATGCAAATCATGAACTTCACGGAGAGTTAAGATTTTTTTCTTTCTCCCACATTGAGACAAATGCAACAATGATTTACATTAATCATAAATACTACAGAAATTGATTGCTTATGATTAGATTGTATATGAATATCAGCTCTTAATTTGAAATTCTGATATTTTAGAGATTTCTTTTGATCACAGCCACTCACACCAAATTAATGGATTTGGTTAACTTGCATAACTCTTCCTACAAGAAAAATTTTAGAGCTAGGCACCCCATATTTCTCAAGAGCCTTCAGGCACACTAGCTGCCATTTTTTCTCAGAGCACAGCATTGCCGACAGTGTTGACCAAGAAATTACACAAAGTGATCTACTGAATAACAAATCAGGTATACTAGGTAATCCAGAGCCTGTGATTTAATTTCCAAGGAATGATCACCTTTGCTGTGCTTCTTCCTCATCAATCTTGTCCACTGCAGCATTGATGTGATGTGCCAGACAACCCATCTGTCCCTGAATCTACACAGTTGTAGAGCAGACACATGTGAACTTCAGTCACAGTATTCATAGCAAAGAAGTTCATCTCATATGCACAAACACAGCTGTGTCATCTGCTAAGAAATTTGTACAATGGAGCAACTAATTTTTGAAGTCAATAATTAGTCACTGTGTCTTTCAGGTAGTTTATTTATTCTAAAAATTCTTACAGACTGGTACATTTATGTACCTCAATGTTGAAATTTAAAAACCAGTTTTAAAGTGAGGTTTGAGAGTACAAATATGTTATGTCATGGCTTACTTACCTCACTCAATAGGAAGCGAGTGGTAAACTTTCCAATAAAGGACTTGTCAGGATACGCCTATAGCAAAAGAATCATTTCAATCAGTTTTAAGTATATTTAAGCTAGGAAAGTCAAAGATCGACCTCATAACCACTGACCACAACAATTTTTTTCAAAACATCAGACTGACTTAAAATGTTCAGGAAGGCAGTTACCTTGTCCCAAAAATGGCCAGAATATCGTGTTTGCTATTTGCCTAATTTATGTTTACCAAATTACATACTTTTTTAGTTAAGTATTGATTACAGAGGAGGGCATTTCTGAAAAATTTAATGCCCTGTATTATTACACGACTCGGGCAGTCAGAGGGCAAATAACTAAAATCAACCAATCAAAATGCTCTATTGCCGGTCAATATTCTCAAGTATTGGACTGGGCACTGTCCCGAATGGTCCCGAATGATACCTCACTTGTGTGCCTTTGAACTTCAGTCGTATAATAAATCTCTTATTAACCAAGCTTGCTCGGGACCGTACTGGAATATCGGCCCTCGGTATTTTTTTGTACGGACATCGCTTTGCTCGGTCCGTACTGTCAAGACCTCAGGCCAATATTCTCCCAGTACAGCCCTCATGCTTGGTTAATAAGATAATATGTAATCGCACCAACCTTTGCAGACTCGATTAAAGCATTACTGACAGCCGTGTTCATGCTCTCCAGATTAGCAAAGATCTGAGAGAAAGGTCCCATTTCTTTCATGAAGTAATCTAGATAGGGTAAATATGGACACCTCTCAAAAACAGAAGGTCTAGAGGTTATTCTTTTCTATACATGTAAATAAATGACTCCTGGCTCCCTTCTTGTGTGGAAAAAAAATCAGAATAAATACAATGATCACTTAAAAGACACTTTTCCCTCTATATCAAATGATTGATATGCATCTTCTCCATAATTTTCTTTATATATTTCCAACGGCACTGACAGACAATTTGTTTAATAATCAAGGGGTTTTTAAGTTGATGATGGTTTTCTTTGTTCTTGTGACCTTGCTGAAGGCAGTGCTTCGCTAAGAAAAAATTGAAGGGAGCCCAGTGCTCTGAAATTGTGAAATCCAGGGTGCCCAGCATATCCTTTTTTATGAAAAAACTAAGATTCCTGAGTTGCCCAAGAGCAAAAGGAAGGCATCAGGGGCCACCAAGCCCTGCCTTGGTGTTTTATTCAGGGGTGAGAATGTATGGAGAAGTTAGAAGCTAGTCACTCTTTGCCTTTTGACTGCTAAGAGGGACTATAGCACCTGGTTCCGCTCACAATATCACCCCTGTATCAACCATTATGGTCACCAAAATAAGGTAAACAGGGTGTCAAGTGACAAATGACACTTAGAAAATAGGAATGACAGTGGCCAAAACATAGGAAATGAATAGGAATTCTCACCCCAAAATAGGAATTAAAAAGGAGGATTTCTTTGAGTTCTATCCTCTTAACACTCCCAACAGAAACTCTGTTCCACAACCAAATGGTTTAATATTTAACAGGGACCATGAAATACATCCATAATGCATTGCAGCCCCACTTCAACATGGCAAATGCACATACATGCAAATGAACCTCCCAGAATACCTTGCATGTTATCAAAAGCACTGAGAAAGTCTGGGCACTAGTTTCAGAAGAAAATCACTCAAAGGCTTCAAACTGGTCTTTTCTGACATGAAGTTTCAGTTTTTTGTAGAATTTATCAATTTCATTTGCAGATTTATTTCAAATATTTCAAAATGTTTCTGTGTACCCAGTAAAACCCTAAAAAAATAGGAACCAGGAATTTCATGAAAAAATAGGAGAAAATAGGAGGCAGGCCAAAAATAGGAAAAAATAGGAACTTGACACCCTGGGTAAATCATCAACAACTAAGGAAACTCTTGATTTTTTCAATAAATTCGCATTCTCTGCACCTTAGGAAATGTAGAGAAAACAGTGTGGAGATTACGTATACTAATATCAGGGTGTAAAGGGCTTGAGAGTTAAGAAGCCAATTTTTATGTTATATTACAGAGTTGTCCTTTCAACAAAGGCAAGCATAACATCCATATCCATACAATATAATAGCCAAACATTTTTGGATTAAAAATACAATTATCTAACAAAATTCCAATTTCAATGTTATTTAAGCTATGACATTTGGTGGAATACTTACCACATAACTCAGAAGTATCCAAATTACTGAAACAACAAAATTAATGCCTTGTTTTAAAACAGAATTGTAACATAATTGTGAAATTGAACACTTCTCAGTTTCTAATGGTAACAGGACTGAGTGGAGTTTAATTCAGTCTGTAGTGCTCAATTGGTTAAGCGCTGGACTGTTGTGCGGGAGGTCGAGGGTTCAAGCCCCGGCTGGATCAACACTCAGGGTCTTAAAATAACTGAGGAGAATGTGCTAACTTTCTATAACATCAAGAAATGGATAGACATTCTAGTCTTCTCGGATAAGGATGAATAAACCATAGGTCCCGTCTCCTGCATCTATTAATTAGTTAATTTGGTTAGGCAGGGGATGTTAAAGAACTCACTCATGAGATTACTGTTATCAATTGAGCTAACTGCCTCCGGGTTAGCTCAATTGGTAGAGCACAGGACTGTTGTGCAGGAGGTCGTGAGTTCAAATCCGGCCGGACCAACACTCAGGGTCTTTAATTAACTGAGAAGAAAGTGCTGCCTTTGTAATAATATCTGCAAATGGTTAGACTTTCTAGTCTTCTCGGATAGGGATGATAAATGGAGGTCCCGTCTCACCAGCCCTTGTATGTGATAAAAAAAAATTTGTGGGACAATAAAGAACTCACACACTGTTCAAAAAGAGTAGGGCACATAGTGCCCGGTGTTGTGGTCTATCTTTGTGTAGTGTCTATCAAATTGATGGGGGGTACTGTGCCCTTCAATAATGTATAGAAAGGGTGCAATATAAATAAGGAATTCATTCAATCATTCATGTGGTCTGGCCTGTTTACTGGGAACTGGGGGGAGGGGGCATCTGTTAGATTCGCCTTTATTTGATTGTAAACTGCTTAGCAGTCTGGTAAAATTCCCCCGCACAGTGTGGTAAAGTGCCATGAGCTCAGGATATGAGCACTATATAAATAAAAGTGATCATTATTATTATATCCAGCTCGTAATAACCAATCACGCTCAAGATTTTGTTACAGTTTTGATTAACACTATAATAATAATACAGCTGTGGCACTCTAAAAGAGGTCGCAAGAAATTTTTAAAGGAAGAGTAAGGCTCAATATAAAGAACAAGTCAAATTTGTAAGAAAGTGTGAAGCAAAAGCAGAATTTCCAGAGGCCAGAGGATTGGACTGTAAGTACTATACTCAGGGTGGGTATGGGTATATTTTGCAACTGAACATTTATTTTATTGTACTTGATGCTGTTAAGTATTCATGGCTGAAGACCAGTTGTTTCAATTAATCAAACCCTGAAAATTGTGAAGCCATCAAAGGCAAATCTATTTCTGAGGTTTAAAAAAAAAAAAATAATAATAATAATAACAATAAATTATGTGGAAGTACCTAATCAAGAGCTAAGATTGCTACTAATGTGTTCTGTTATTTGTTTATGGACCTTGCTTGCAGATTTTGAAATATTGGTTGTAGAAAACATAATGTTTACTTACAGCAGAGAACACCAAAAAGGACTAGAAAATAGCAGTTTACCAGGTATTTCTTATGTCTGCATATGGGTTGCAGAGACTATGCAATTTCTACAGCTTCTATGCCTATATGTAATGATTGGCTTTGTTGTACTTTGTACATGAATTTGCATAATTAAGAATATTGTTTGCATGAAGCATGACGTTCAGCTAATGTGTCACAGTGAATCCTTTTAAAATAATGTCCTGATATTAATCACGAGCAGCAAGGGGCCTTCAATGTTCAATAAATACAGGAGGACGGCTTAAAGGCCTATTTACCTTTGCATCTACAGATCATAGCAGGGCTCCCGCGTGTGTGAAGCGCACCTGGGGTAGAGCCCCATACCCATGGAATATGGTCAGCCTCTTTTCGTTTGGTTGTCACGTAACTGAGCGTACGTACGTACATACGCACCTGCCTTCAGATTGCACAGGTAGGGTAGGGGAGACTATCAAAACGAACGGATAGGCGACTCAGGCAAGTCTTGGCAAATGCACATCTTGGCAAGAGTTCTATATAACCCCATACATTAATTATGCATAGAGTGTTGCAAAGAAACCTTTATATTTAGTCTTTATGAAATGGAATGCATAATTAATGTATGGGGTTATATGGAACTCTTTCCGCACATCTTTTATGTTATCATTAATATTGCGAACTTGGGAGCTACGCTTTTAGGCTTGGCTAAATCTATATCTTACCCTTACGTACTTTGTATTGTGTGTATCAATGTCATGAAATAACTTTTCCAAATCTTTGTTCGACAAGATTCCATCGCTGAAGAATGCCTTGAACTCTTCCAGAGACAGAGCACCATCATCTGTTTCATAAACGAGTCAGTAGCAGATTAATTGTCTGTTAAAGTGCATAACTGAATAAGCTACCTCCCGAAATTGTTAATTCGACCGGAAATTACCTCCAATATAAAATGAAATCAACAATAACTTAAGTAAATTTTCGAACAAAAGTTAGCATGAAAAATAAAACCACTCACCGGTTTTATCTGCTCTTCGAAACACCTGCAGGAGAAAACAAAAAGCTCTGATTTAATATCAATAGACATATCGAACGAGAAGGACTGCAAACAGAACACATACGTCCAAAAAAATTGATCTTCCTGGAGGTTGTTCTCCTGCCATTCCCGCCATGATCAGTACTAACCCCCGGGAGTGGCAGGGCTTAACGGATATGTCCGATCTATTCCGAAGGTTTCCGGAGAAGTTTTCGTAAGAAGTTCGATCAAAATGGCGGCTATATCTTCATCTCCAGTTGTCCAAGCGATCGATCAGAAATCTATTCACCAGATTTGCTCTGGTCAGGTTGTATTGAGTATTGCAACTGCAATGAAAGAGCTTGTTGAAAATAGCTTGGATGCTGGAGCCACCAACATCGAAATCAAGCTACGAAACCATGGCGCTGATGTGTTAGAGGTGATCGACAATGGCTGTGGGGTAGAGCCCCACAATTTTGAAGCGTTGACTTTGAAGCACCATACTTCGAAACTTAAAGATTTTTCCGATCTCGCAAGCGTGGAAACGTTTGGTTTCAGAGGAGAGGCACTAAGCTCTCTGTGTGCGCTGAGGTATGTGTAAAGGGACGCTGTTGGGTTTGGGCGGGAAAGTAGATTGGTTATTTAATGTTCCTCACAGCTGAGTGATGGAGATAGGGTCGCAATGTATCTGTAGTTTCGTCACTAGCACCATTTGAAAGGTCAATGACCAATTTTTTTGCCATGAAAGTGCGGGTGATTGTACCAAGAAGGGTGGGATGGAGTGCAGTCAAGAGGAATGGGGGGAGGGTGAGGGAATGGGGGTGGGGTGGGGCAGTATGGATCGGTGATATCAAAAAATGGGATCTTTTGATCACATAGTTTGGTCAATATGATGATAAGTAATATGACTAATATCAATCATGTTAGTCACACCAATACACACCAACAGCAAAAATAATTTTTTTTTTACCTTGAATGTTGTAATCTTGACCCTATGTGCCTAATGTTTACTTAATGTGATGTAGTAAATGAATGTGAAATGTAGCTTTGTAATTTTTTTCCTTGTTTCATTCTAGTATAAGTGCAATGTAGTTTTTTGTAGTATTTTATTTTGTTTCTATACTGTAGTGTATTCCTTATTATGCTGTTTTGTAACAAAAAAAAGTAAGATAAAAAACAGTTTCATTAAGACTAGTACCTTAATCTACCTGGTATGGGGCTTTATTAGAAGAATACCTTAGAGGTCACAGTTACAAGTGAATTTTTTGCTATTTGGGTGATCTAAGAGCTGGGTAATGTGTAAATGATACCATATTTTTGCAAAGCACAGGCCCTTCAAATCATCTAAAGTATTCCTCTCTCTGCAGCAAACTTACAATAGTAACACATCACTCATCCCAAACTGTGGCAACAAGACTAGAATATGATCACAATGGAAAACTGCTCTCCAAGAACCCTTGTGCCAGGGATGTTGGCACTACAGTGTTGTTAGAAAACATTTTTTCAACTTTACCTGTTCGCCACAGAGAGTTTCTGAGGAACATCAAAAGGGAGTTCTCAAAACTAGCACATGTCCTACAGGGATACTGTCTTGTTAGTACAGGTGTGAGGATAATGTGCAGTAATCAAGTGGAAAAGGGAAAAAAGACAACAACCGTGTCAACAAATGGAAGTGACCAAGTGAAGGATAACATAACCTGTGTCTTTGGACCAAAGCAGGTATGTGAAGTGTGCATTGCCCTGAGTAGTATAGTACAGCTTGGTAACTTGTGTTATCTCCTCAAATAAAGCTCCAAATGCAGAGTTTGACACTGAGATATTGTGAGACTATCACAAAAATTCTTCTGTCCATAAGAATTGTACCTTTCTGGCTTAATTTGTACATCAATGTAGTAATTTGACTTCATATCCACTGTTCCTCTTCACAGGTGGTAGCAAACCAGAGTGTATTTCAACACCAAGGAACCGTTATGTTAGTTTTCTTATGGCCTTGGTGTACCCTCATGAAAAACATCATTCATGACATTGTACTTTAGGTGGCCTTGACTAACTATTACATGTAACTGACTTATTAGCTACAGTGACTTCTCTGAATGATAAACAGTTTTGGTGAACCTTGTGTACCAGCTGTTTCTATGTGGTGGTTATTGGTGACTCTCCTCTCTATTCAAGAATATAAAATGACTATCCACAGATATTTCAACAGATCATTGACCCTTCTGCTATCTGATACATCAGCCAAGGCTACTTTGAGTACCCCCTGATCTCTCAAGTGGTAAAATCACAGCTAGATGATTGCACACACCTTCAAGTGACCATCTGTCCTACCTAGATACCTTCACACCCAGGCGTGTTATTATCTCATCTTGGTGCCATAACATTTTGATACACTAGAATTGGCAAGTTCCTGGAGATTTCACACTCCAGAAGCCCTCATGCATACTACTCAAATCAGTTGCTCTTACATGCTTTCCCATTGTCAACCCTTTTGCTTTGATACCTTCACACCCAAGCACAATTTCTTCTCTCTTTGAAACCAATGATGACACTGAGGTACATTCAACCCAGTGCATCCTTGTAGATCTGACATTGAAGAAGTTCTCACACTCACTTAGGCAGTAATAATATCTATTTCTAAAGATCATCTTTTTGTGGTTTTTAAGCCTTCTGTGACCCATGTTTACCTGTTGTTGCCTCCATAGGGTACTTTTTGATTTATTGTTGCAAAAGCAAAACCCAATAATTATACTGCTAAACAATCACAATAACTGATTAGATTGGGGGCAAATCTCAGGACTCAGTAAGAACTTGAAGTAAATGCAAATAACCACCCTTGGACTCCGAAAAATTTGAGTGCTCAAGTCATGGTTGGCTTCTGTTTTGTTTGTTTCTGATTGGTTGAGAAAAAGGTGCAAATTATTTTTGAACCAATCAAAAACTGTAGTGAACCAAGGTAGCACAGTCCTGAATTGTCTCCGACACTTATCTGGAAACGGTACTTATCTTACTTTGATTTAAGGATGGAATTTTCATTCTCTTAGGTACAAACTATAATGGCTTTTGAGCAATCAGTGCCAAATGAGGAGGATTGCACTGAAGTTGGCCTTGATGTAGTAAAAACTGACCCACAGAACAGTCCTTTCCATATCACAGGCTATATTTCAAAACCAGATCACGGCATGGGACGTAGCAGTGCCGATCGTCAGTTTTTGTACATTAACAAAAGACCCTGTGAACTGTCCAAAGTTGTCAGGGTCATCAATGAGGTCTACCACACTTACAACAGACATCAATATCCTTTTGTGATGCTGGATATTTCCCTTGCAAGAGGTGAGTTCTAATCGCAACAATCATTGCACTGTGAGCACAGGTAATACTGAGAAACCTCAAAGGGACCCTTGGTATGTGTCCACTGGATACAGCTTCTATTAGCTGTGCAATGAGTACGAAAGAATACCCCGCCACTTAATATGCGTCTTTAAATAGCTGCTCCCGAAGTCGCCAAATTCAATTGCTGCTTCCGCAGTCCCGTGATCGACTTATTAAAAAAAAATGTATACATGGGTAGTGGGTAGCTGGGAAAATCAACAAATGCGCATACATACACGTATACCTCGTTCTGTAGAGTGACCAAACGATGTACACTGACAAACACGCATACCATGCGGTTTCTGAGCATTTCGACTTCACCGGCGAGTGAGCCGAAACAGTCAAATCTTCGTTCGAGTGAGTGAGCTTGAAAATGAACCAGGAAAACGACCTAGTGACCTTCGGCGAGTGAGCCGAAACAGCCAAATCTTCGTTCATAAACCGAAATTCAAAATGCATTAAAAGTTATATCTTGGTATTCCTTGTTCTTGAAGTGTAATTCAAAATGAAATCACTGATTTAAGTCATGCATAAAAATGAAATAACTCTCGGTCGACTTCTGGAGCGCGGTACTGCGGAAGCACTAGTTCAACGGCCCTGTCTTTTAATCATTCTTCCACTACTGGAGCGCGGGACTGCGGGAGCAGTAGTTTTTAACTGCTCTCTCTTCTGCTTATTCTTGGACTTCGGAAGCGCGGGAGCAATCACTTCATAACATCAAAAGTGTCCTGGTGTTCTGAAGTTGCTCCTTATCCTCATCATCATAGTTATCGGCGTCATTGTCATCATCTTAATTAGAATTGTTATTATTAAGTGTATTGTTGTTATTGATGTCTTCGTCTGGTATTGCGTCAACCTCCTACATGTATATTATCATGTAATAAATCAACAGTTGTGAGCCTTCTCTTTTTGTGTAAGCTACAACTTTTATTGCGGAATTTATTGAGAAAATAGGTGCATTTCAAGATATGGCCATGGAGAGGATATGAACACTGCCATTTTGAAAACGACCTAGTGACCAGGCCTAGCACGCATGAAATTGCGAAGGAAGGATGGGACGGCCTCAAGGCGCGGTTCACGATTAGCAACTGCTCTGATTATCCCAAAAATCATCATTTTAGAAAGAATCCCTTTTTTGTGTGGCTCTATATTGTTCAAAAATAATCTCCAAAAGATGAAAAGGAAAAAAAAAAAATAAAAAGAGAGAGAGAGAAGTAAGATTTTTTTCGTCACATATCAATCAACTCAAGATTCCAAATGGCCGGGTCCAAACTAGTTTTTTCAGTTAGCACGTTTTTGAAGACGATTTTCGAAAGGATGGATAACTGTTTAGAATCTCAAAACGTTTCGGTGTCTTGGTTTCTTTTATTCCCCTTACTAGACGAGATGCGAAGTGCATGGGTTTTTTAAGCGTACAGGGAAATTCTTCACTCAAATGGAGATGAAAGTTGCAGATTAGAGTTATGCGAGAGGAAGTAGGAGCTTAAAACTGACCTTAGTTTTGATCACAGGATAACATTTATTAAAATCATATTTACCCATAACAGGCTCTCGTTGGCTTCGTGACACGATTGGCGAAGCTCGTGTAATATTTCTCCTGCTCAACCCTACACAGAACTCTCGCACGCTCGTTCCGTTCTCGTGGGCTTCGCCGCTCTAGTCACAGCGCTGATGAGTGCCTGCTTTTAGGCTATAATTATATGTGTTGATAGAATTTTCTTACAGATGGAGTGGACGTCAATGTGACTCCAGACAAACGTCAGGTTTTTGTCCAGGAGGAGAAGGTGCTCCTAGCCACAATGAAGTCATCCTTGAAGAGAATGTTTGACCCTTGTACAGCTTCTTTCGATGTCAATCAAAAACCTCTGAAGCAAATCAAATTGTCTGAAACCTTCGCAGCAAAAGAGGGTAATGGTGTCAATTTCCCAGAGAAAGAGGAACTTCAGAATCAGAAAGCTTTGAACTCTACAGTCAATGAAGTTGTCGAAGTATCACGCTCTGTTCAGCCTACGTTGACAGCTAGACCTGGTGTGTCTGAGGAGAGAGGAGGGTTTCCTTCTCTCAGTGGTTTTAAGAGAAAATTCACAGTTGTTGATGAATATGTCACGAAAAAACCGAAAGAACCCAGTAGTAAGCAAGCAAGGCTTACTTCTATGTTTTCTCGGGTTGGTGGTTTGTCGAATCAAAGCCACAAAGTGAGACCACGATCTGAAAGGAAACAAACAACTGTCATTAACGGCCAGGGAGATAATGAAGAACTCATGGAAGATTGCAGAATTAGCGAAGATGTTATTGAAGTTCAGCACAAACTAGACTCAAAGAACTTTGTGGATGAGGAGTATGTCCTTGATCATAATGGCGAGGACCGCTCAGTACAGAGTGAAAGCGACAGTATATTAAGGGTGATAAGCAGTAGGAGTGAGGTAAGGGACATACTTAACGGAGAGACTGTTTTAGATGATAATACCGTTGAAGAGAGCAGTTCAAGATGTCCTGCTTCTTTCCAAAGTTTAAGTTTTGCGAGCGAATCTGGAGAAAACAACCAGGATGATCCAGAACCTCAGACGGAAAATCAATTCCCTAAAGAAAATGTGGACAGCGGAGATTACGCCATGAAGGTGATAACTTTAACTCCTAACCGTCCAAAGGCTTTAAGTTCAAAACAAGGTGAAGTTTCGGGCTCATTTACAGACAGGAAGGAAAGCACAGTTAACTTCAGTATGGATGATCTGTTGTCTAATGCCAAGAAACCACAGCGAAGGAAAGCAAGGGAAGTTGAAGCTCGCTTGTTCAGAGCCAAGATTGCTCCCGAGAGTAATTCAAGTGCAGAGACAGAGCTGAGAAAGAATATTAGCAAAGACATGTTCAAACGGATGGAAATTCTTGGTCAATTTAATTTGGGTTTTATCGTTGCTAAACTGGACAATGATTTGTTTATAATCGACCAGCACGCATCGGATGAGAAGTATAACTTCGAAGATCAGCAGCGCAATACCATAATCAGGTCGCAACGGCTTATTGTTCCACAGAAACTTGAACTAACTGCTTCTAACGAAGCCATCCTCATGGACAACGTGGAAATATTTCGAAAGAATGGATTCGAATTTGAAATTGATGAAAATGCCGAAGCGATGCGGAAGGTTAAACTAATTTCGCTTCCCATGAGCAAGAACTGGACGTTCGGCGTGGAGGACATCGAAGAACTGATTTTCATGCTGAGTGATTCACCCGGCGTTATGTGCAGACCTTCAAGAGTTAGGAAGATGTTTGCGAGCCGTGCATGTCGTATGTCTATCATGGTTGGAACAGCATTGGATCAAGCTCAGATGAAGAAGATTGTCCGTCACATGGGTGAAATTCAACATCCGTGGAATTGTCCTCACGGCCGGCCCACCATGAGACATTTGGTGAACCTTGGTATGCTGCCATCATCAGATTTCCTTTGACAATTGACGGATTAAGACAAAATGTTTCCTTTTCTAAAGTAAACGGAGGAAATTATTTTCTGTTTGTTAGAGAATCCACTCTTATGCCCAATCTAGCTGCCCTCATTAGAAAATGCCCTCGTTGTAGTTCCAGTGCGAAACACTTAGTACCTTAGAAAGGTGCAATTTTATCAGAATTGAAATAAACTCTGTTCTTTTAAATAATCGTTTCGTTCCATAAGATCTTCTTCACGGAAGAACAAATGTTGTTCATGTTGGCGACAGTAGACATCCCTGCAGTCATACACAGTCAGAGTACCGTGACACTCCAGTTTAACCATGAGTTGCCACCGTTTTCATACTCGGATTGAAAACCGACCTCCATTGTTAAATGGAACTTTTAAAATTGAATTCAGTTCAGAGTTATTTGACGAGCGAGATTGCTAATCATAAGAAGTTAGCTGAACTTCACCATGCTGCCATCATCAATTTTAGGTTGGAAGTAGTCTAGGTAATTTCAGCGTTTATTTCCTCATCTCTTACGTGTTAAGTTTGTACGACTTCATCAAAGAATAATTTGCTTAGATATTGACATCGAAAAAGTAAAATAAAGTACACTAAATCATGCATCAATTTAGTCGTACTCGTCTTTAAATCTATAGATATAGACTTTGTCAGGGAACTAAAAGCCGTTTACCTCTCCGTCAAATGCCGGTGCATGGTTCTACAGTTCTCTGACAAGATATCAGGAAAGAGAATAGATAACCGGCTGAAATCAGCCTCAGATAAAAACAAGTTAAAAACCAAATTTATTTATCACATCTCAGACAAGATTACACCAAGTCAAATGTCTATTTTACAATGTTCATGAAAAGTATTAGCGGTGAGCAAACGGTTCAAAGGTCAGAGCGAACACCAAAGCCTGGTCCCTTGGGAGGCTCTGTTAGTGATGTCAGTCCTCCGGCAGGCTCACAACAAAAACGACCACTCCTGAAGGAGAAAGCAAGCCCACATCAGATCACCTGCACAATAGCCTGCGCGAAGGCTCCCCTTGGCGCCATGAGTGGTGAGCGCGCGGGAGGTTCATGAGGGTTCTAACCCAGACCCCCTCATTAACCTCTCACTCGTTCGCTCGCTCGTTTCGCCCATCAATTCGAATCTGGCGGTTTTGCCGCTCGTACAGCATTGAAAATAAGACCCTGTTAGCAAGGTACCTGCACAAGCGTACTGATGGAGGACTGAACAAACGTTATTATAAAACAAACTACATATTAAATAAAATACCAACAAGTGAAAGTAAGGTAAAGGACAAAAGAAATTTTTTGGAAGAAATATACCTGGGTCCCGCTTTTGGTGTTTTTCCGGCAATCAGATCGTCAATAATTTCTTCTACGTCGTTGGCTGCGAGGTCCTCCTGTAGAGATTTGATACAAACACACATACTTACACAAAAAAAAAGGGTTAAGTCGGTGTTTAGAGCTAATGGTAACAGTTAAGCCATTTATTTAATGGTCAGCTATGGGCTCGAAATTGGAAGAGTAACATCTTTTCCTGGACAAATTATCGGGATCGTACATATAAATTGATAGGAAAGGATATTTTCTCCGTGTTACCCTCAGGACCCTTTAGTTTTATGAAGGAATGTTATTAGTCAGCAAATTTTTCCCTTTTTTCATTGGCCTTGTACCCATCACATGACCCTCAAGCAACTGCCACGAGTTACTTTATCGTACGCTACCATATTCTTCTCATTCTCGTCCAACAGTAGTAAACTGTTTTAGTATTTTGGTTAATGATGAAAACCGATTGACAAGTGATAAAGTTTTGTACATCCGTCTTTCCTTTTTCACGTAACCTGGTCAGTGTTATTCTGACTTAAGCTCAGCTTGTCAGTGCAACAAATAAAATGTATACATTTTTACTGCATGGCATGATAAAAAAAAGATAGTCTTACATAGTAGTTGTCGTTAATCTGCATCATCGGGGCATTCACACAAGCTCCAAGGCATTCCACTGAGCTCATGGTAAACAAGCCATCTTTTGTTGATTCACCAATCTTGATACCTTGAACATCAAATTATTGACAAATTCACCTTTACAGTTTATGGATGTGGCAGAATGCTTTATCACGTCAATCAAGGAAAACCTGTATAAGTTCTAGTAGTAATTTTGGTTACTTTGCACTTCCAGGCAGAGTTTACTGACCTAATTTCTTGGAAATAACTTCTACTACCATGTCCGAGTCTCTCAGTTGACAAGGTGTAGTGGTGCAAACTTGAATATGATATTTTCCAACAGGTTCTCTAAGAGAAAAAAATTCATTTCTTACTAGGTTATCAGCTCCATGAAGAGGTATGAGGAAGGGAACCAGATGTAAGAGTCATTTAAAAAAAGATTATGAGCTTAACATTGTAAGAAAGAAAACATTTCCTCACTTTTGCACCTTCATGTTTTCTAAAGATGTCAAGCTGCTAAACAAACCTGTTATACATGGTGTAGAATGTTGCTACTTCATAAACCCTCATTCTAGGCATTTCCAACAAATCAGCAACATAATTCATTGCAGAAATTGGTAGCCAACCTAAGAGACAAAATGAAAATTTGCCTCTTGTTCAAGCAGCAAGCCTAAAAATTTTGCTAGAACCTCCAAAAGATGACTGCCAACTGCGCCCCTCAAATCAAAGAAAAAGGGTGTGGTAGGTCATGTAATATACTGCACCAAGTATCAGTATTTTTTTTTTTTTATGGCAGCTGACATCTTACTTCTGAGGACCACTGTGTGATCTTAAGTCACCTTGAACAGAGGCTTGGTGCATCAAGAAAATCTATTCATCCACAACTGGATGGAGAAGTGTCTTTTTAGTTCAGACCTAACTCCTAAACATGGATGCATTCATATCTTTTGGTGTCTGTACAACAAATTATAATTCTACTGCATACCATGTTGTCTTTGTGCCAGATCCAGTATAGGTATAACAGCAGCTGCTTTGTGTCCATCAGGGTAGTTATTGATAATTGTTTTGGCTCTCTAAGAAAACAATGTGTCAACTCTTAAAACGTGTGCTCTGTGTTTTAACAGAGTAATATCAACAAGATCACTTACAGGCACAAAAGTAGCTCAACTCTTTAACTTCCAAAAATGATTAACATGTAACATCTCCTTATAGTATCCACACATTATCCAGTGAACAGGTAACGAGAATACACAAAAGAACCAGATAGAAATTGTTATCTTGATCTAACACCAAATTCTTATAACTAATATACAGTCCCATTACCATTATGAACTGTCTACTGAAATGTAAGAGCTTTGCAGAGAGTAATCAGAACACTAATGTCATGAAGGAACCCCTCCCAGAAAACTACAAGCTCCCAGTCAGCATAAATGTAAAAGTACTGAATCACTTTTTTTTGTTTATAGTACAGGCTAGAGACAAATAATTATAATAGGAGTGAATTGCATCTAATTTCTCCTTACAATATCACCCCTAAATCACACATTAAGGTGTCACAAGAAGACAGGATATAAACACCGACTAAAGAAGCTCTTGATTATCAAACAAATTCTACTTTTCAGCACCTTAGAAAATGTATAGAGAACAGTATGGAGAAAAAGTCAACTGATGTTAGAGGTGTTAAGGGTTCTTGGTTTTATTCACTAGCTGTGTTCCTCACCTCCAGGTTTTTAGCAGTCAGCTCAAAAGGAGTGTCAGGATTATTCTCGGGGGTATCCCTATGCTGCAAAGAAATTCAAAATTATGCATCTGTTATCTGCCCAAGGCTCGACACTAGTGGTAGCCC